TGGTCATTTACTGTGACCAGCTCCGGCACACTGCAGAGATTGTTTGATGGGGGAGTGAAGGCCTGGCCCTGGGCTCTGGTGAATGAATCTGAGCAATGTTACCTTGTGAAGTTCTGTTCTGGCTTCCAGCCAACCCTTTAGGAACACAGTTTTCTGCGCCATTGAGAACTGTTGCTTTCATTACATTTTCTTAGGGCTAACTCAAAACTGGACAGTCTAATTAATGAGTTGCTCAAAAGAACTGGCTATAGGCAGAATCAATAAGCTTGAATCTAATATTGGGAGACTTAGCTATCATTCTGCAAATAAATTCCCAAACCTAGTTAGTTTCTATTGCCAGTTTATTAAGTAGGATGTGGGAGGGAACACACAAACAAGGAATGGTCATTCCCATTGTTATACACTGACTTAGAGGAGTCAACATATAATTCAGTCTGTCCCTGCAAAGATGAAGCCTTAGGTTGCCTTGGAGGAAGGCTGTAAATGTCTCCAGGCAGTCAGGTAATCTGGTGAACCCACGATTTCTCACTTCTGGCAAGTGTCCAGAAAGGAAGGTTAAAAATTTTTAGGAAGGTAAACATTTTGAGGAGATACCTAATACGTTGGGAATGTATTTATTTAACTTTTTTTTTTTTTCCAAGATAGGCCTTTTCTGTATAACAGCTTGGCTATCCTGGAACTTGCTTTGTAGACCAGGCTGGCCTTGAACTCACAGAGATCTTCCTGCCTCTGTCCCAAGTGCTGGGATTAAAGACATGGCACCACTGGGTTATTTATTTATTTATTATAATTTTGAAAAAAGTTCAAATTATGTCGTTGAGAAATAATTGAAAGAATTGGAGTGCTTCATCTGGAAAGGATATCCCAGGGAAAGCTAGAACAGTCTGTAATGCTGCAGCCTTTGTTCTTTGTGTTCTCAAAAGAGAGCACAAAGGCCAAATGGATCCAAGCTGGAGAGAGAAATTTGAGCTTAATTTTAAACGTACTAAGATCTAGAGCTGAATAACAGGACATGCTACACTCTTAGCTGAACTGTTTGAATGGAAGATGATTGGTCATGTCTTAAAATGCCACCATCTTCACTTATTTGAAAGCATATTTACTATTTACGTGCCCCGTGGCTATGTGCCATTTACTATTCTTTCAGACTTTCCTACAACGTATTTTGATCATCTTACCCTCTCTCCCAACTCTTCCCAGGCCCATCTCTATTCCCCACTCACCCATCTCTTTGTTGCCTTCTTATTTTATTTTTAAACCCACTGAGTCCAATTGATGATGTTCCTATATTCTCAGATGTGTGGCCTTCAGCTGGAGCCACATACCATCCTCAGCAGCTTTGCTGCTGGTCTCACTAAATGTACTGTACTGATTCAGGTCTGTGATGTAGTTACCACATTTCTAAGATGGGAATTTGGAGTACAGAGATATTAAATACCTAACATTTCCCAACTTAAACCCAGTTAGACTGAATCAGAAGCCACTATTCCCAGCCTGGTTAACATTGTAAACTACTTTTCTAATATTGCTGGACCAGATGTTAATATGTTCCCTTTAATGCTGCACTAGATAAAACTTCCTTGTGGGCCAGTGAAATGTCTCAGCAGGTAAAAACACTTGCCGCCTATGGATAATGCAAGCCAGATGACCTGGCTCCATCCCTGTAACTCAGTAGGTATGAGAACTGATTATGTTAAGGACAGCAGAGGCTGTCCTGGAATTCTTGGGCTCAGGAAACATTCCTCCCTCAGCCTATTGAATTGCTGGGACGACCATACATATTGAGTTTCAGCAGTGTTAAAGGAGAGCTGTATAATTGCCCGTGAAACCAACTACCACACGTGAGAAATCTATGTATTTCACACTAACCCCTTGTTGTTAGCCTTGGTTTTTATACCTGCCTGCACAAAAGCTTGCCAGACTCTGTTTTTCCCAGGTAACTATGAGGTGCAATCAGAGTTGAGAAGTATAGGTATTGTACATCATACACACACATAAACATACATATACAGGGACAAATAGTAGTTATAGATGTCACACATCTACAAATACACGTACATAAACAAGGATAGAAAGATTAAAGGTCCTGTTTATTGCCCAAGCTGGAATATGAACCCAATTCTCTTTGGTTACAAAACCTCATGAGGTTAAAAGTGTAATTTCCCAATCTCTTTGTTCTAAAAAAAAAAAAAAAAAAAGCTAACAAATAAAAAGCCTGAATACTACTTTGCTCCATGTCAGCAGTCCTGCTAATGGATTCCAGGAGTCTATTGTACCTGGGCTGTTCACAATCATCCTACATATCCTCCATCACTCTGTGTTACCCAGGAAATATAACAACGATCCTAGGTTTTGTTTTTGTTTTTTTCCTCCCACTATTGGTAGTTCAGATTACCGGATTAAGTCCTTGGGTTCTAGAATTTTCTTCCATACTCTATACAACCTGACATTGACTGGATTTGTAGTGCTAATCCTGATTTCATGGTAATGTTGGCCATGTGAGATACATTTTTCATGACATCGCAGAAATCAATTGTTGTTCTTTTGCTGCAGCTAATGCCTAAGAAACACAAACACCGAGAGTCAGCGCCCACGTGGAGTTTATTGAGAGAAGGGAGAGAAAGAGGGGGTAGCTGGTGGCCAACTGAAAGCAGGAGAGAGAGAGAGAGAGAGCAAGGGGGGCAGAGAGAGAGAGAGCAAGAGAGAGAGAGGAAAGCCAGAAAGAGAGAGACCAGAGAGAGCAGGAGCCAGAGACAGACAGACAGAGAGAGAGAGAGAGAGAGAGAGAGAGAGAGAGAGAGAGAGAGAGAGAGAGACGTGCTTGGCATGCTTGTTTTAAAAGGGGGGCTTGCGCATGCGTAACTGAGTCCTGTGGCAGCCCGGTAAAGCTTGAGCCGCCAGGTAAGGGCCAAGTAAGACTGATGTAGCAATGACATGGCCATGAGCATCCCGCCCATCGTTGGGGGCCGGGGTCAGCTGGCTGCTAGTTCCTAACAGCAATGTGATACTTTTGTCCTTGTATCTGTTTACCTTTTTCATTGTGGGTTCAATTTGTTTGCAGTGTCCTACTTGCCATCATTATTTTTTTTCTACCTAATAATTATGAGTAAATTCAGTAGGGCCATGGCTATTATTTTCAAGAATTTTCTAATTTATATTCAATTACAGCAGTGTTTCTCAACCTGTGGCTCTCAATCCCATTATGGGTTGAACAGCCCTTTCACAGGGGTCATCTGAGACCATCAAAATAAATAAATAAATAAACAAACAAACAAATAAATAAATAAAAACCAAATATTTACATTACAATTCTGAGCAGTCACAAAATCACAGTTATGAAGTAGCAACGAAATAATTTTACAACTGGGGAGCTTGTCACCACAGCATGAGGAACTGTGTTAAAGGATCACAGGATTAGTAAGGTGTAGAACCACTGAGTTATAGCATATTAAAAATATATGTAGGAAAAGAAAGGCAGCAGGTAAAAAAATGAACTCATGAACCTTTCGGCTAGCAGGGAGCAGAACAGGAAGCTGTGCTTCAAGTCCTTGGGAGGTAGACACACCAGGAGTTCCAGAAAGCCATGTGCCCTGGAAAGCAAGTGGCCCCTGGAAGCAAACTATCTTCTTTCACCATCTTAGAAACTGCATCATGACAGCCTAGAGAACAGGTTGACTTTCCTTCCAACACTTTGAATGTTGATCTTTTATTCTTTTTTTACAAAGAAATTATCGATTACCATATTTCCCCAGTTAGAAAGACTATTAGAAAAAAAATCAAAAATGGCAAGGGGCTGCTTACATGCAGTTGATTGGAATTATAGTCCTACAGCCATTGGAGAGGGAGGTACAGATATCCCTAGAGAATGGTATGAAACTCCCACATGATTCAGCAATCTGCCTCTGCTTCATATGCGTCCCCCTCTTGCAATGGTTAATCTTGATGGTCAACTTGACATCATTTAGAGTCTCCGGAAAACAAACTTTTGAACATGACTGCAAGGGATTTTCTGTATGAAGTTTGCTGAGGTGGGAAGACCCACCCTCAGTGTGGATGATGGCACCAATCCATGGGATGGGGTCATAGACTAAACAAAAAAGAACTCAAGCCCTCTGCTTCCAGGCAGTGGCTGCAATGCGATGAGCTGTTCCAACTTCCTGCTGCCATGACATACTGCCATGATGGAATGTACCCTCGAGCTGTGAGCCACAATCAAGCCATCATTTCCCAAGTTGCTTTTGTTAGGTGTTTTGTCTCAGCAATGTGTAAAGTAATACATGGCTCCTGCTCCTAATACTGGGTTAGCTTCAGCCCTTTGGAGGTATTCTCTGCCTCACATATTTCCACCCCCCAGCCTGTGCCAAGTCATCATCATTTCTGTCTCAAACGCCCCCTTCCCTAAGCCCCGAACATAGCTGAACTTTCTTGTTGCACATTCCCAGAGTACATCAGTCTTTCATTTTCGTTTCTGGTAGCACTCATGTATTTTCACTGCCGCTTGATGCCTGTGTTTCTAATCAAGAAGCTCCCTGAAGTTCAAGACTACTCACATTTTTTTCTCCTGTACCTTGGTAATTCGGTGTCTTGTATATGACTTAAGACATATCAGGTTTGCTCAAAAAAAAAAAGTAGATTTGAAATGCATCAGAGCAGTAACCCAAGGGGGATCGATAACAGGAAGGGGGAAAGGAAAAAAAAAAAAATCGACCAAAAGAAGAGTGGCAGAATGTTAGTTTTAGTTTCGGGGAAATGCATGTGGAGGAAAGGTAGGCTTGGGCATTGTGTTTCACTGTGGGAAACCAGAGCACCAAGTATGCCTGGAGAAAGGACATCTGTGACCAGTCTTCCCTCTCATGGAGATGTCTGATGGTGGCCACAGACTCCGGCTGTATGTCATCTTGGATGCAGGCGTGCCAGCACACACGGGCTCTGGTGCTTGTGAAATTCATTGTGGGGAAAGATCTGTTAATGCCTGTGTTCTGGAATGATGTTTTTCTCTCTGATTTTGTACTTACAGAAGATATGAAGGAACCAGATGACCCGGACGCTAATGAGGGAAGATCAGAGTCAAGGAGTGAAGGCAGGCAGTCTTCTAGATCTGATTCAAAACGTATGTAGGGATGCTAATATACTCCTTTTTGTTATCAAATTTAGGTCAGATCATTTTGAAAAAGAGTGCCTTCTGGGTGTAGACAAAAATGGTTTCCCTGTTTAATTCCCTTACAAACTCTCCTGTTCCTTAGCAGTAACATCTATGCATTAATTTTATCTAATTAATTGTTTAATTAATTTATTTATTTTATCTCTAGCTCTTAGATTGTCTCTCTGGATTTAGCATACTAGAGAACTTGGGTTTGACCCCTTTCACTGCCTAAAATGGAGGTGTAATCCCAGCCAATCTAGAGGTGGGAGCTGGAGGATCGGAACTTCAGACTCATTCTCAGCCTTAGCAACTGCCACCTTGAGAACTGCGGGGCTACCTTAGACCCTGTCTTAGAATAGTGAAAGAAATGGCAGCTGTCTATGTTAAGAGCAATCTGCCTGAATATCTGATCTCTGTTTCCTCTATGAGATCTGTGTCTTTTGCGGGTTTTTAGTGGAAAAAGAACTCGAGTTAGGTTTTAAGCCCCGAGTCAACCACTTGGAGATGCTTGACATTGGAGAAAAAAAAAAAAAAAAAACAAAAAAACAAAAAACTTTCAAAGCCTCTGCTTTCTAGCCCACTTATTTATTTTTATTTTATGTCTATGACTCTTTGCCTGTGTGTATGTCTGCACCACATATGTACTGTGCCTGTGTAGACCAGAAGAGGGTATTGAATCTCTTGAAACTGGAGTTACATACAACAATTGTTAGCCACTATGTGGGTGCTAGGAATCAAACCCTGGTCCTCTGGAAGAGCAGCCAGTGTTCTAAACTACCAAGCCATCTCTTCAGCTTCTTCTGGCCCATTTCAATGAGTTATTTGGGAATTGAATTGGGTGAGATATGGATTTCATAGGCTGCAAATGAGAGAGGTGAGGAAGTAGCTTTTGTTTGCTCGAGTCACAGGAAAGAACTCAGGTGCTTACAGGGAGTAGCTCTCCGGAGCCCCTGTGAGCGTAGCTGAGTCTGGGCTGGCCAGCTACCTTCTTTCCATTCCAATGCATACATCCTGTGGAATTCTGCCTTGTGGCCCAGCTAATTGACTTGACCCAGACCTTTGCTCTCATTTATATTAGTCTTGAACCTGTCTCTAGCCTTTCAGCTTCATCTCAGATCTACTAGGAACTTTTGGGTGCACTTGCTGTTTCTTCTGTGTTCTTCTGAAAGTCTCCCCATCTTTCATGTGATCGACAATGTGTGTTTTAAGCATGTCCATGTTTGGACTTGAAATGAATGTTGCCTATACCGGAAGTCACTTCTGATCTTGATTCCCCCTCATTCATTTACTCTGAAGCCCATATTTTAGCTAATTCTCTTTTATTTTACTTCAGAGAGAAATGAACACACTCAGCGGCTACTCTTAAATAGCACCACTATAGCATAGCATAGGTGGAGTTGGGGTTATGATATCAGTATGCCAGCACTTGTCTGCCTCGCTGTTTATCATTTCTTGTTAGTGTGTCAGAAGGGACATCAACTGGAGATGGAGTGAAAATGAAAATGAACTCACAGAAAAGGTTTCTGGATTTTGTGCAAGTTTAAGACCAATAAAGTAAAGTAATTCTAGGAAATTTTGAATAAAAAAAAATTCATTACATTTAAAGCATCAACAAATAAGAGGTTTTAGTCCCTTTGGAAATAAGAACATTTAGTTGAAATTTTGTGAAATTACTAAAACAACTTGTCTTTAATATCTTCAAAAGAAGCTCAAGAAGACACCACAGATGACCTATATACCGATGAAGAAGAATCATACCTCGATGATGACCTGGACTTTGAAGACATGGGACAAAATTCAACTTCATTTCAAGATTTTCCTCAGATTACTAGTTGTAAGTGTGATTAGCTTTCTCTCAGTAATTGTCACTGTTTAAAAGGCAAGTTGCTTGGACAAATTAAATAGCTTTTTGTATATATGTCTAAGAAACAGAAACTCTGCAGGATGTGAACATGTGTTATGAACAGAAAGAAATACACGTACCATGGTAGGGTAGTTTAGCTACATTCTATTTCTGAGGACCATGTTGGACAGCCTTGTGCTTGATATGGGGATAATGTGGTCAAGGGAGTGCTGTAACCCAGATTAGTTAAGAGTTCCCCAACTCTCCCTGTGGAAAGAAAGCATGGGCAGAACTCAGCCTCTCTTAGACGTGCACAACCTCTCGATTCTTCCTCTTAAGTTTGGTAGCGTGAAGTACTGTTCAGGTGAGTGCTTGTTCTTACTGCTGGGACAGCCCCCTGACTTTGTGAAATACAATTTTAAGGTTCAACCCTTCTGAGCTAAAATATTTTCATGTTTTAGTAACCCAGGAACCTCCTCCTGAGATTAAGGAAGAGGCAGAGGAGACTGTAAAGAAGATATCAGCGAATTTCTTCTACAATTATGAGGAGCTTGTTTCCACACCCTATGTGACGCCAGAAGCAAATATCCCACTGGATTTTCTCACCCTTGAGTATCCACTCCAGCTACACATTTATAATTTGGGAAAGTTTCATTTCAATGTACCAACAATAGCACCTGGAGTAGTTATGATCAAGAGCAGTTGGTCTAGAAGGCTTAAAGATTTACTTGCCTTATGAAGAAAAAGTTTATCAGCCTTTGTCTTAGGAAACTGTAAAAAATGCAGGGGTGGTGGTGGAAAGGAAGGGAGGGGGTGGGAGACAGAGGGAAAGGAGGGGCGATGAGGGATGTAGGGGTGGGTGGGGTGGTAGGTGTGGGATGGGAGAGCAGGGGATTTTAATTTAAACTAAACTTTTTGTTTGATGCCAGCCATAGGGAGCAAGGATATTTTGAGGATGCTCTTTGCACAGATGGACTGGGCAGTTCATGAGATGTGGAAGGAGTCTGTGAAGCTTCTCATTGCCATGTTTTTCTTGTTCCAGGCTGACCTTTCTTGGCCAATGCCTGTCTAGTGACATATTGCTTTCTTATCTCAAAGCATTGATGGGACCATTGTCAAGGCTGGTATTTTCCCATCATGCAATTCTGAGCATTCAGGCCATGGCATAGCAAGTTTTGGTGGGGTTGTAAAGGCAGGTAAACATGGAAGGCACTGATAGGAGTGTGTTGTATTTGTTGTCAGTATGTTAGGTCTGTGAGAAGGTAATTAGAGGACGATTTCCATGGTGACTTCGGCTTGCCTTTACATATAACTTGTTTATATTGTTTTAATTAGGACTAGTACAGTCGGTATGTTATCAAAATTTGTATTAGACTTCCCCAAATGTCAGAATTTTTAAAAATTTGCTTCTTACGTTTAGTGTGTGTGTGTGTGTGTGTGTGTGTGTGTGTGTGTGCGCGCGCACATGCACGTGTGTGTTCCCATGTGTGTCAGGACATGTACACAGATGTCAGAGGACACCTTTCAGGAGCCTGCCCTTTCCTCCCATTAAGGGATGAGAATCAGGTCATCAATCTTGGCAGCAAGTACTTCTACCCAATAAACCATCCAGCAGCTCCAACAGGCCAGAATTTTAAGTTCCTTTTATCATCAATGAAGAGGCCTATAAAATATTTTTAGTGGACAGATCAGTGAGTAAAGATACTTGCCACACAAGCCTGATGACCCGAGTTCAGTCACACACACACACACACACACACACACACACACACACACACACACACCCCATAAGTAATAATAAAAATAATTTTTACTATGAATTCAACAAACTTGACTGGCCAATACTAAGGTGAAGATGTGGACTTGGTTTCACACACACTGTTTTGTGGTACTCCAAGAGGAAAACGATATCTACTTACAAAAGCTATCTGCTTATTTCCAAATCTCAGGATTTCTTCTAAAAAATAAAGTAGAAACTAAATCGTTGTATGAGTATTTTTACTTACTTTAAAAATAAGATTGTGTTTGTGATCCATAGAAAAATTCCAAGTATCAGAGTACAGTTAAGCTACATTTATTTCAAATCTTTATTGTTTAAATAGAATATTGATTTTAAAAATAGACTCCATTGTTTTAATCACTCCTCCTATTCCTAGATGGCTATTTGTTTCACTTATTTTCCTTAGCAGCCTAACCTCAGGCATTCTTTTGGCTATGACTGCAAAAAACGGGCCAACCTACAACTTCTGGATAGCAGTACCGTGATATACATTGCTGGGAACCAACTGGTCCTGCTGGATTTTAAAACCAAGGACCAAATATACCTGCACAGTAGCAGTGGCCAAGGAATTGGTGCCATTGGGGTATGTAACGTTTAGTGACCTTGGGGGGGTCTTAGTTTTTCTGTGAATGCCACAGTGGCTGTTAGGCACCAGAGGCATGCAAGGTGTTATGGGGGGGGGTCACATGAGATGTACAGCTATCTTTATTCTAAGACCTTTTCTTCTTTCTCTTTCTTTCTTTTTATGATAGGGTTTTTATATGTAACCTAAGCTGGCCTTGGAGTCAATATATAGCTCAGGCTGGCCTTGAAGTCAGAATATAGCCCAGACTGGCTTTAAACTTGGCATCCTCCTGCTTTAGCTTCTTGAAGAGAAAGTAATATTATTTATATGTGTGTGTGTATGTAAATATAATGTGTGTACATATTATATATATTATATATATATTATACATATTATATATGCATGTGTTAGTTTTTCAGTAGCTGCAAGTAAAGAATCATGATGTTGAATTAAAAAAAAAATCAAATATTTCCTTTCGGAGGAGCTTGACCAAGAGTGAGCCCAAAGTTGAACTCTCCATTTCTCTCCCTGTGTCTTCCCTTTCTCTGTAGCTATGGTCATTGGTCTATCTGTAACCTCCTGTACGATTCTGAATCTTGGTCTCTGTCCCTGCCTAATGTCTGCTATGTCTGTCCCTAACAAAGGGCTTTGTTCTTTCTTTCATCGAACGGAGCAGAAACTATCACATGACTACAGAATGAGGGCTACTTTACAGAAATCTTTAAGAGCGTTTTTACAAGGGGTGAAACCTCACTGATCTGCACATAATCCAGATGCAAAGCAAACACCACGGCCCAGAGACCATATCTATATATCCATGCTGCTTTCAAGGGTTATGGTGGGTATTTATTATAACACGGCCACTTTAGACTTGCTTGCTATTTTTAGTAAATTAACACCATAAAACACACACACACACACACACACATACACATACACACACACACACACCTACCTTAGCTCTCACCCTTTCTTCCCCTCCCAACTTATACCACAGGGTGATGCAAACAAAAGCCCTTGATAGATGTTGTCTTTCAGTTCTGGATTTACAACTTTTCAGAATAGCTAGGCAAATAAATTCTGTCCATCATAAGCCCGCTTTCAGTTAGTAAGTGGACTGACACATACATTCTGTGACTGTTTCTGGATACAATTTAGGGTCACTTATGCAGGGGTTTGTCACCAGGCCCTGCTTAGCTCTTCTCACACAGCCATCTAGGTCAGCAGCAGTGTAGCACTTATTAAAAATATGCGAATTTAGAAATTCTGGGTGGGGGACTTGAGATCCGTGTTTTTGAAGAACCTTTCAAGAGATTCAGGCACTCACTAAAGATTGGAGCTATCAGTCTCACTATGAATTTAGTACTTGTGATATTAAAAATGATAGCCTTAATAAAGGTCAGTTTTCATTTTATTTTTACTTTCTTTTAGTTTTCAGTTCAAATCATATCCATCAAGTGTTTATCAGATGTTCATTTTTTTAAAATTTTAGATTGAAGTATAGTCTAATTAGCCAATTATATAATAACAGCCACTAAGTACTGCATGGATAGGATTATCAATGTGAAAATTTCTAAGTACTGCATGGATAGGATTATCAATGTGAAAATTTCCTTTTAATATTTTAGTGAGATTCTGTTTTTCTAGGTTCATCCAGATAAAACTTACTTCACAGTTGCTGAAAAAGGAAGTTTTCCAAATATTATTATCTATGAATATCCTTCTCTGAGGCCCTACAGAATCCTCCGAGGTGAGTCCAAGAGGGTCTTTAGAATAGTCCACATGAAGATTAATATCAGGAAGATGGCTTAGGCTCTGGAATTAGTCAAGTTTCAGTAGAGAAACAAAGGTAAGAGGTAGGAAGGAAATCTACTGAATGAAATTGCCTTATAGTTTATCTAGGCTAGTAAGTCTGAACATTATGGGTCAGCCCCATGGTCTGGAAATTCCTGGGAAGGACTTCATGGGCAGTCTCCAGGCAGAATGTCTCCTTCTTCAAGACCTTTCAACTGATTGAACGCCCACCTAGATCTTCAAGGATACAATCCAGTCACCTGATCAGAAATACCAGTCATGTTTGTGTTTATCAGCCTTTGTCTTAGGAAACTGTAAATGCAGGGGTAGTGGTGGGAAGGGGGGGGGAGGAAGGAGAAAGGGAGGGGCAATGGGGAATGTGGGGGTGGGTAGGGTGGTAGGTGTGGGGTGGGAGAGCAGGGCATTTTAATTTAAACCATGGGAACGACACCTGAACCTGGATGCTGGCATGTGAACTCGGGTACCCACACTTGCACACTGGGCACTTCAGCTATTGGACCATCTCCCCAGCACACGTACAGTCTTAACATTTGAACATGAACACAGATCACAAGAGCATTCCCCTCTTCCTCCTCCCTCTCAGTTTTTGTTTTGCAACGGAGGATCTTGTTAGTTTTCAGCAGAGCCTTCGGTGCTAGGATGATAGGTGTGTCCCCTGTGAACTCAGCTTTCTCTCTTATTTATCAGACTCCCACTCATCTTTGCAGATGGGACAGAGAAGGCCTACGCGTATGTAGACTTTAACAATGAAGGGACCTTGCTGGCCTCGGTTGGGAGTCAGCCTGATTACACAATAACCATCTGGAATTGGAGAGAAGAGCAGCCTACACTGAGGACAAAAGCGTTTTCTCAGGACGTTTTTAAGGTCACTTTCAATCCTGAAGATGATGAGCAGCTAACCACATCAGGGTTAGGCCACATCAAGTAAGTCTGGTGCCCAACAAAGAAACCAATGAATAGGGTAAAGGTAGCCTCTAAGAGGAACAAAGGCTTGGGGATAATTTTCCATAGCCAAGGCTACACAGAGAAACCCCATCTTGAAAAACACACAAAATCCCCAAAGAATTGTTTTTAAAATTAGGAGATTTCACATATTTTTTAAAAATACTTATTTATATTTTATGTTGTCTTAGGGTTTTTATTGCTGCAACAAAATAATTGTGACCAAAAAAAATAAAAAAAGTTCAGGAGGAGAAAAGGGTTTATTTGGCTTATATTTCTACATCCATAGTTCATCATGGAAGGGAGCCAGGACATAAACTGAACTAGGGCTGGAACCTATATGCAGGAGCTGATGCAGAATCCATCGAAGGGTGCTGCTTACTGGCTTGCTTCCCATGGCTTGCTCAACCTGCTTTCTTATAGAACCCAGGACCACTAGCCTAGGGATGGCATCACCCACGAAGGGCTGAGCCCTCCCCCATTGGTCACTAATTGAGAAAATACCTTTCAGCTGGATATCAGGGAGGCTTTTCCTCAACTGAGGCACCTTCCTTTCTGATGATTCTAGCTTGTGTTAAGTTGACTTGCAAAACCAGCCAGTACATATGTTTATGAATGTCTTGCCTGTGTACATGTATGTGTACCACACGTGTGTAGTATATGTGGATGCCAGAAGAGGACCTTGTATCCCCTGGAACTGGGGTTATATGTGGTTGTGAGCTATTATGTGTGTGCTGGGAACCAAACTCAGGTTCTCTGGAAGAGCAGGAGTGCTTTTAAACTGTGGGGTCATCTCGCTAGCTTCATAAGTGTTTCCTTCTTTCCTTCTTTCCTTCCTCCTTCCTTCCTTCCTTCCTTTTTTGAGACAGGGTTTCTCTGTGTATCATTGGCTGTCCTGAAACTCTGTAGACCGTGCTGGCCTCAAACTCACAGAGATCTATCTGCCTCCCTCCAGTGCTGGGATTAAAGGCATGGGCCATTATGCCCAGCATGTGCTCTTTTTCAAATTAACCAATAGTTTACCTTTTCTCCCTTCCTCCCCCTCCCCTTTTCTTTTACTGTATTTTAAAAATTTTGTTATAGGGGATTGGTCTGCAAAACCAGCATAGATAAAAGAAACACATCCCTATGAGGTTCTTGTAGCAGCACCTTGGTCTTCATGGTGAAACAAGAATTCTCACAGTCATTCTCCACAAGCAATGTCTATTCCTGAGCTCAAGTCTGTGGCTCCAAATTCCATGACACCGTTGTTCTGCTTCCTGGATGGAATAATATAGACTGTCTCTATCTATCTTACTCTCATTCAGCATCTGTTACTTTCAATCTGGTCTAAACTTTCACGTGTGGCTGGTAAGTGCTGCAGCAAACAGCACAACTCAAACCTCAGGTCTTGCAAAGACAAAGGACTGTCCCCTCCAGCGATGGATCTGTGTTGCCCGACACGGAGTAGACACTACATGTTAGTCAGATAAGTCAATGAAGTTATGGGTGCTTATGAAATATGATCAGTTGGAGATAAAATGGAGCCACACTGACCAGTCCATCTGGCCTCCTCCCCTCTTGTCGGCAGGTTCTGGGAGATGGCCTTTACATTCACCGGTCTCAAGCTGCAAGGGTCACTGGGGCGATTTGGCAAAACATCCACAAGTGACATAGAGGGTTACACTGAGCTTCCGGATGGGAAGGTGAGTGTGTCTGCACTCCTCGGCAACTAGACTGTGTGTGAATGAAAGCATACTTATCTGGGCATCAACCACACGTTGTAAGACTGTCGATGATAGCAGGTACTGTAACTATCCAACTAGCGAAAACCTCATTTTACTTTTTCTGGACTATCAATTGAAATGAAAACATTTCCCCTAACTTTTTTTGTAATCCATATGTACTCACCATTTCCTGGTTTTGGTAAATATTCTATGCATATGAAGTATGAAGCATTTTCCTGTATTAACATAGTGACAAGCTTGTTGCTTTTCAATGATGTCATGGAATTATAATAATTTATATTGTCTTTCCTTTTTTGGCATGATGTCCCAAGGAACTTACAGGGTCAAGGTTTTAATCAATCATGTGTCTTTTGTTTTGCTGTCATATTGTCATTCAGGAAGATGGAATCATTTTACAGAGATATCTTTGATATTGTAGAATTGTAAAACAATTTGATTTTCTGACCTTATTAGTTCACTTTTCTCTTACTCTTACAGATCTATGGACTTTTTGCCTAAAATGATAGGCACCAAGGATCCATTTTTCATTAATATTTTATTGGGCCTCCTATTAGAATGAGTTACACTGTGTTACTTTCAATCACTTGTCCTATAAGAACATGCCAGCACAAAAATATTACTTTAAGAAATCAAATGATCTGGTCATTTAAGTGATGGGGTAGTGTCAATTAAAAGTACGGCATATAGGAGGAAATCAAAGTCTCTGGGCTAGCCAGTCTAGCAGAATTAGCAAGCTTCTGGCTCAGTCAGAGACTCTGGCAGAATCACAATAATAAAATAAGGGTGGGAAAGGAGATGCTGGTGTTGACCTTTGTCCTCCCCATGTGCTTCATGCACACAGGCACCTACATATGCATGTACCACTCACCTCTCTTCCCTGACAAAAAGCCATAGGCGCTGGTTAAATTGTAACCCCAAACCTATATAGCAATCTTAATGAGTCTGTCTTCAAACTCTGAATGCTTGTTAAGGTAAACATCAGGATAGCCTTTCTTTAAAGTATGGTGTGACCTGTGTCTCTGAAATTCCAGTAGAGGTAAGGGGAAAGTAGCCATTTTAAATGATAAAGCTACAGAAGGAAATATTCAGGGTTAGGAATGAGTATCAGGTATTTAGAGGTATTTAGAGGGTGGATCAGATTAACACATGTTGGAGAAGAATGGACACTTTGAATTGAGAAGGATGTTTGGGTCTTGGCCTGTGTGTGTGTGTGTGGTCTAACAACCTGGCATGCTGCATGGGAAGAGAAATGTTAGAAATTGGAGAAGCAGTAGATAACATTTGGTCGTAGAGTTCCAGGTAGGCTGTCAGGAGGGAAATCTGGAATCAAAATGATGAACATTCATATAGATAAAAGGGCCGATGGGGGCGGGGCATCCTGCTCTGAGGACCAAAGAAAGCTGGAAGTGACTGACATTTCAGAAAAGAAAGCCTTGTAAGTTTTTAATCCCTTTAGGTGGCTTTAATCATTGAACAGTTACTTTCATACAGGTTGAGGTACAAGCCTCCATGGTCCCTGGAGGTTAGCAAAGGGAAGGGGGACAGAGGGAGATTGGACAATGGATACCAAAGTACAAATATGCAGAAGAACTCCGTTCTAACAGTCGGTGTCTGATTCACAACCATCTCTTTAATATTTAGGGAAGAACTACACACAGGCATTCAAAGCTCGCAGCACAAACTTACGATGAATGTTGAAGGAGAGGGAAATGCTAATGACCCTGACTTGACCATCAGACATTGCATACATGAATCAAGTTATCACACTGTGCCACACAAATGTGCACCATTGGTATTCACCAAAGAAAACACTTCGATAAAAAGGCAAATTAAAGATTCTACTAATGTGAGCTGAAGTAATGGGTCACATAGGCAAGTGAGGTAAAATTAGTGAGAAAGACTGAGCTAAAATCATCAGTTCCTGCAGATGAGAAGGAAAGAATTTCCCAGTATGCATTGGCCCACACTAAGGGTCTGTGGAAATAAGACTCTCATAGACAAAATTGCACAGAGATCCCACAGAAAAGATACATGTCCCCTGGTTTCCTTGTCCTCCTGCTTCTGAGACAGTGTGGTCAGAGCTAGGACTTATGAGTCATAGCTTTTGAACCAGAATCTGGGCTTCTCTGGGAAACTAAGGGGCAAATGGATTAAGTGTTTGTATCTCATTTTTGTCTAATTTTTTTTCTTGTGTAAAACAGGGAGATAATAGTCAAAGTCATCACTGGCTCACATTATTCATTTGTGAGGGTGAGAACAAAGCTACAGCTAGGAAAATAAGCACCACGTGCCCAATTGCATATGGTGATGCTGATGAGTGTACCTAGTGCATGTGGCTTTGAGCATTAAATACCGGTATAAATACAGTATTCAGGCAATGCTGACACAAAGCCCAGACACCATTAAGTATTACTATTAATTGCATTCATTAAGCGTTCCGAGAACCAGTGTTTGATGGCATGTTCTTTGGGAGCTGCTGAATTAGATAGAGTAACTTGGGGGTGGTCCCAAATGTTTTCCTTGTTTGAAACTGAGCTATAATCTGCTCAGCCCAGTAGTGGCCTACAACTCAGCAGACAGTTCTACACTTAGACATAGAGCCTCACCTGGGAAAGACTTTAAGTATCCTAGTCATTGACCTAGTCATTCCACTGCAGAATCTTGCCCTTAAGAGGTATATAAAGAGATCTACTGCAAGCATTTGTGAACAAATTGCCACTAGCATACACCCTAGTCACAGGGCTCTAGAAGGAAGGAAACACATCAAAATGTAATTGCATGTTGAATCTGTAGTGCTGGATTTTTATTTGTTTTCTTTACTTCTATCCTCAAGCTTTATAGTAAAAATAAAAAGCAACTGAAAGCAACTCTTACCTGTTTGAGGCCCATATACACATATTTCATTTTTATGCACATTTCTGTCTTCACACCTGCCAGGTACTCTCAGGATCAGAGTGGGGTAACCTGCTGCTTTGGGAAGGCAGCCTCATCAAGGTGGAGCTCTGTCGAACTGGCATGAAGTCTTGTCACCAGGGTCCCATTAACCAGATAATGCTGGATGAGGGGGAAGTTATTACTGCTGGCTCAGATGGCTGTGTTCGGGTAAGGCAACGGCACTCCACTGAAGACTTGCAATTCACCTAGGTGGTTTTGTCTTATAGGCTGCCTCATGGGGGGAGGCTGTCAATGCTCACTTATTTCCAAGACACACTTACTTTAAATAATGCTTCTCACATGATAAATATTTGTATTGTTGTCAAAATTAATTGAAACATTATGAAGGGGATCACTTCACTTGTTCTTATGCTTCAGGTGCTTACATAGGAGCTTCAGAAAATGAAAGTTCATAATAGCAACTGATAAACATTGGGCATGCATCCTTTCAAAATGTCCACTGTGGGCGGGCATTTTCTAAGGAATGAAAATGCTGAACTTTTTTTTTTTTTTTTTCAAACAAGGTCTCCCTACATAGCCCTCACGATATAAACCAGGCTGTTCTTGAAACTTTTAGAGATATGCTTGCCTCTGCTTTCTGAGAGCTGGGATTAAAGGTGTCATTGCCAGGCTGGTGGTGAGAATGTTGATTGGAAATAGTCTCAGAGATGTGTGGGTGGGAGTTGCTATGTACAGCCCTTTCCCAAGCCCTTGAGCTAGGGAATTCATTGATTTCACTGAGAAAGCTGTCCTATTTTTAGCCTGGAGGAAGCTGGAAGATTGCTTCAGAAACTAAGCCTCCCAAGTTGCTATTCTGTCCTATATTTCCCATTCACCCTGCATGGCCCTTTCTGTGAACACCACTGTTCTTCACAAACCTGTACTCTTGTGATTTGCTTTGTCCTCTTGGTACATGATTTTTCTGGGACCTTTACACTCTTAAATTCCTCGAGACCAATTTGCACTGTCCATATACTCTTGAATGTATGGGCTTCCACTGGAAGGGTGGTCAACTTACAGGGGGCTGTATTCTTAGAGAAAACTGTTTTTCCCTTTCCCAGAAGCTAACAAATCCCAATAGCTTTGAGTTTGGGTTGGAATTGGGTGCCTACTCCCCTCTCCATGTTGGAATTTGGTCTGGCTAGGGCTTGCGTGGGCTCTGTACATGTCGTCACAACTACTGTGAATTCATATGTGCAGTTGCACTTCTGCCCAGAAGATGCTGTGTCCTCATAGTCACCCACCACTACGTGCTCTTACTCTTTTTCTGCAGTTCAGGGATGAGCTTTGTACAGTCTCTAACTCTCTATACCTTGGCCAGTTGTAGGTCACTGTGTTAGCCACCATGTTAATCAAAATAAAGAGAAAAGAAAAGCATTTCAGACAAGGGTTGAGAGACACGTTGATCTATGGGTATAAGAATAAGTCATTGGAAGTCAGTTTAATACTATGTCTATTTAACTGCATAATAGCAGTTGGTTCCCTTGTAGAGCCCATAAACTGTCTAGCCATAAATTCTAAGTCAGATAATGATGTCGGGTATGGGTCTCATCTTGTGGAGTGGGGCTTAACTTCAGTCTGAAAGTTGGTTACCCCAATGATGCATCTGCCACTTATACACCAATGGACATGTCTGTAGCATGCGTTCTTAATAATAAAAACCTGGAGTCAGATATTGTGGAAAAAGCTGAAAGATCACGGAGATGAAGGAGCAAACCACAGCCACCTTACCTACTCAACTTCCCAGCCAAAAAGAGAGTGAGTTCCTCTTTCCTTCTGCCTTACGGTTTCTTCTCTCCACCCAGCCATATCACTTCCTGTCTGTCTGTACAGACCTCTACTGTTAACTAGTGCCTAGCTTTGCCCTCTGATCTTCAAGCAAGCTTTATTTGGTAGAGTATAAACAAGATATCACTACACGTCTTCCAAGGCCAGTTGTAGCTCTCAGGGTTCGTAGCTGGGAATAACTGAGTTTTACTTTTGTCCTCCAGGAGCATATGTAGCACTTTCTAGCACCATGAAAGCTACTCAGTAGGGCTGAAGCTCACAGGCCTGTACCAATTGTGTTCTATGACTCAAGCATACAGCATCTTAAGCAACAGGGTCTCACCATCCAATTTTGGAAGCATCATCAAGAGCAATGGAAATAGCCTGTTATGTTTGGTGGCCAATGGGACCTCACTGGCCAACAACTCCAAAAGAAGTCACTCATACCTGGCACCTGTATTTTTTAGCCTCTGGTGTCTAGTTGGGGCATTGTTTCTGTGTGATAAAATACTTTCTTATTGCTTTCTATAAGATTTGGGATTTTGAGACAATAGATACTGCTGACATTATAGACGATACCGGATTGTTGGAGATAGAGCCCATCAATGAACTTCAAGTGGACAAGAATGTTAACATCTTCTCAATGATAAAGATGAATGAAATTGGAAATAACTTTTGGCTGGCTCAGGTATGTTACATTCTTCTGTTTTGCCTTTTTAATTGTACCAGGACATAAGCTTAAAATAGAAATAAAATTGATTGTTTGGACTTAGAACACTCCATGTTACAGCATTATGTGATTGCTTATTATGTGTTTATAATCTTATATAGAAGATATTTTGAACATATTTCAACCACACTATAATATATGTAAGCACTAGATGCTATTGTTGATCTTCATTTTAATGAGTCATGGAAATAATAATTTTAATTTGGTGAACATTAAAAATTATAAAATATTATTAGCTTTTTAATTTTTTAGGATGCCAACGGAGCCATATGGAAGCTTGACCTTAGCTTTTCAAATATTGTAAGTGCATATTTTCCTTATTTTCTCCTAAATGTTGTAGTAGAAATTCTTTGATATATTTCTTAAAAAATCTGCTTCATCTTTCTCCACATAGATCATTGTTTCTATAAAATAAAAAAGGGACTATGTCCTTATTCTTTGCATGTTTCCTAAATAGACGGAGTCCTCATTTATATTACCTCATGCGATCCTTACAGCTGCTCAGCTGAGCCAGCAGGAAGACCTGGGAGCTAGCATTTGATGGGATCAGTGTAAAATTAGTCATTAACTTCAGAGCCAAGACGCCATCTGGTTTTCCTAATGCCCACGTCCAGTGCTTTTACTAATCTGTCATACTTTAAAAATTTCTCTTAGAGTAACAAGACACATTATGTTATAGGGTTCTGTTTACATTTCTTTAAAGTTGACTTCACTTCTGTGCTTCTCTGTTTTTGATATCTGGTATGCTCTTTGTTTGTTCTCAGACCCAGGACCCAGAATGCCTCTTCTCTTTCCACTCTGGAGCCATTGAAGCCTTGGCTATTTCTCCTCTCACTTATCTCATGGCCACAACTTCCCTGGATTGTATGTATGAACTACCCTCCAAGCCTGGTGTGTGTGTGTGTGTGTGTGTGTGTGTGTGTGTGTGTGTGTGTGTGTGTGTGTATGCGTGCGCGCATTCATGTATATGTGCATGTGCTCTGGTGTGTGTGTATGTGGTAGCCACACATGTGTCTTCCTCCGTTGCATTCCAACCTATGTTTTGACACAGGGTCTCTCACTGAACCTTAAGTTCACCAAGTGGTTAGGCTAGCCAACCAATAAGTTCCAGGGACTCCCCTGTCTCTGCCTCCCCAGCTCCGGGGTTACAGGCTGCTTTTTCATGGATGCTGGGGATCCCAGTTAAAGTCCCCAGGTTTGTATGTCAGGCACTTCACTGTCAGCTATCACTCTAGTCTTGGAAATGGGAATTCTTAGTGAAAATATACCTGGTCGTGTTTGTATGTAAATTTAAAATATACGCTAATAAAAGTATTTGAATAGTCTTCCAAAAGAGAATCCCATTGAATGGAAGCAAGATGAATTTTGGAGTGGGAAGTATGCAGACAGCAGCAGACACAATTAGCGATTAGAACAAAGACATAATTATAAAGTATGAAAATGCCACTCATTTTTTTTAGTAACCATAGATATGTCCTTTCTCTTCTCATCACCTTTCTTTTCTCTTGACTTTGGGTATTCGTAATCTTGTAAACTGTGCAAAGGACCACTTTTTGTCATTCAACCACAACTCATGCCTTTTATCAAACTCTCAGAGCACCCATGGGTGGGAGAAAAAGAGGCTCTAAGGGAAGCGATAGAGAGGGTAACAGCACATGTGTGATGTGGAAGTAAAAGGACCGATGCTGGGGATAGGCGGAGACAGTGGGGATGGCCTAGGAGGTGGAGGAGAGCAGATGATGTCTGTGATGTGGCCAAAAGCAAACCAAAACTAAGTATGCATGACCATGCCACAAGGAAATCTGTTACTATGAATATTCATTTAAAAATAATTAAAAGGAAAAATAAATACAAATTGAAAGGGCTGTTAGGCTATCAGTTGATCTGAGTTATGGCATTTAATCCTGTAATATGTACTATGTAAAAAGTGAGCTAAGATTGTTTAAAGAAATTGTATGTTTATAATTTGTTTCTTTTGAAACTTTTTCCCCTGTAGGTTCTGTTCGTGTCTATGATTTTGCTAGCAAAACTCCTTTGGTTCAAACGAAATTCAAACAAGGAGGTACTTCCATTACTTGGGTACCCCTAACAGTAAGTCTGTTGTTTTAATCCAATTCTTCCAGAAACACTGGAAAATGTACTGCATCAGAGATACTTGGTAGAGATGTAGTTATTTCCTAGCTCAGAATTTTAGAAGTATAAATAATTCAAGTTAGTTTCTTTTACCTAGAACATTGCAGACACCCTCATGATTTCACTGTCAAGGGTTAATTTTTAAAACGAGGATCTATTTTTAGGCCACCAATGGCATAGTTATAGCTGTTTTGCAAAGTAACCATGCAACTGAACTTGAGGCATCTTCTGTCCATGCAACTATGCCTTTTAAGCATCAAGGGACTATTTTCAGAGTGACTCATTCTTATTACTTGGGGATGAAACCACAGAGAAAATGTTCCCGGCATGCCACAGGTCTGATTTTCCATTATCGTGTGGATAAAGACTACTTTCAGTGTATCCTGTAAGACATTCTGTGTCCTGGTATCTTCTGTCTCTACCTCCAGGTCTTATGGTAGCATGGCTCCTTCACTCTAGTCTGCTCTCATCAGGCTGAATTTTCCTTGAATTCTACTTTCTCCTGACACTGGACCCTTGCACAGGCTCTGTCCAGTCTCACGGGTTCTTATTCTGTCTTCTTGTATCTAGTTAGTTCTTGACTGAGCACCTGTCGGATCTCAGCTCCGCCACTTTTGCCTTAGAGGAGTCCTCAATCTAGGTTGGCTTTATGTGATAAATGCTCTAAGTGGCTATGTTTCTGTGCTTTGGCACCTATGTTAGCTCCTATTTTATACTCATCTACATGCTAATGTCTATTTGTGTTCACCCCAAACTGCTGGTGACAGGTGCCCTTTGCACAGGAGGCAGGCACAGTGTTAGTGTTTGCTCATTGGAAGCTTGAATTGCTTACCCTGCTTGTGGTTATAACAGATACATGCCCTGGAATTGATGGAGGTTGCCATAACATGAAACCAAGAGTTGAAAAGGGAAGCCAATGCTAAGTTACCCAAATGGAAACAAGATGTGGACTTGTATGTGTGTGCGCGCACTTGAGCACTGAGAATTTCTTAACTAAATCTAGCCCCCCCCCTTTGATTGTTTCCCAAGGTGAGCCTCTCTGCAGCACAGATTATCATAGGATTCCAGGATGGTGTTGTCCGGATTCTGGAACTTTATGATCCAAAAGGACTTACACTTTTTGCAGGACGGAAGAAAAACTTAGAAGCTGAGTTACATTTGAAACATGTCTTCAAACCCCACACAGCTGAAGTCACAGCTTTAGCTTATGAACGTGAAGGGGAGATCCTAGCCACTGGGGTAAGTGGAGATTCTCTCTCATTTCCTATTGGAATTCCACACTTACCTTCCCTTGTAAATCCACCTACTCCATTGTGACTTATTGACCAAAATTAATTCACATTTTGCTTTCTTTTTTTTTCTAGTACAGTCTGTATCATATTACATAAGAATAGTCTCATAAATGAAGTTTTAATGCGTATTTTAAATGACTAGAAAATTCCTGTTGGGAGTCACGTTGCATGAATTACTTACAATCACTACTTTATAACATCAGTGTGTTCTTAAGCAGGGCTGCCTTAGGTGAGGTTTATAAAGTTCAGTGAGAGAGCTCTTATGTAGCACGTAGCAGGCTCTACTTTCATCCTTCATACCCCACTAAAAGCAAACCACAACAAAAGGCTGCCTCAGATAAAGGAAACAACCAGATAATCTACAGGAAGTAAGAGGTGAGCAGATGCACTGTGGAATTATTTTAGAAATTAAATATATATAGATATATCCACATATGTATATGTAAACATGTATATATACATACATACACACATGTATATATACATATACACATATATAATCACATTTCTAAAAGTATGAATTGAAACACTTGGAAAAATGAATCAAACATTTGAAATCATATATATGAAGTCATATATATATATATATATACACACACACATACATATATATGTAACATTAATCTGGGGTGTATGACCATTGTGTTTATAAGTGTGAATAAGATAGACTATGTGGTGTTAAATCTTTGAGCTCTATGAGATTGATGTCATAGTAATATATGTTGGGTGTGTGTGTCTCTTTTTTTCCCCCTAGAGTAAAGATAATACTGTCTTCTTTTTTGATGTGGAAAAAGATTACAAGCCAATTGGTTATTTTAATACTCCCGGGCCTGTCTGCCAGCTGATGTGGTCCCCGGCCAATTATGTAAGTCATTAGCATTTGTCCTCAAGATTAAATTTCAGTGTCTTGGAGCTAGAGCCCTGCCCCCACCCCCACCCCCTTGGGTGGCATTTTCTTCATTCCTATTTGGCAAAAACCTATCCCTGAGCTGCCCCAGCTAATTTTCCTAAATTGCCACCAGTGTCATCCGAAGACTATGTCAAGGAGGATTACTAGCTCCCCAGAATATAGGGATTTAAATGAGTTCTCTGCAGCCCTTGGGATGGCTCTTACCAGTGCCTTCTCCCACACAAGATGAGCGCCTTCAAACCTCAAAGCTTCATTCCTCCCTGACTGTTGCACTCAGCACCACTTCCCAGAGAGGCCAGGGCCTTCTCCCTACCAGATGAGTCTCTCTTGCTTCTGTCTCCCTCCTCTTCTGCCTTTTACCACAGAGGCGCTCCCCCACTTCCTCCCTAGTGGCCATTCTGCCTCTTGTCCTTTGGAGTAGACTCCCTCAGGCTGGCTTCTCTTCAATCTTTTACATTATCCCTCTCACTTTTCTGGCACACACATTCACCCTTTTGTGATGCTCACTGGGTAGTCTCTACCACTTAACAGAAAGTAAATATCCGTGATCTGTCCTTCTACAGCTACCTCTTCCCCCCCCCCCCATCTCCCTTCTCAGCAGCTCTGACTGTCCCCAGGACACGTTGCCTTCCACATTCACTCCATCCTGCTGTGGCTCCTGCCTGTCTTCTAGTTCCGAGGTTCCACCAGGCAGTTCTGCTGAAGGCACTATTAATACCCACCTGATATTTGATTCTTATCTTGCTTGATACTGTAGCGTCCTTTGACCCCATTGACCTTTCCTTCCATTTTGAAGCATCCTCTTCCTCCAATGTTAGTGCCTTTCTGCTCCCAGCTCTTGCATCTGGTCAGTCTTTCCATCCAGTCAGCAGGCATTAAATCCCTTAATGCCTCGCCCTGTCTCTCCTTCCTCCTGCGATTTTGCTCTAGGTGATGCTTTACGAGCTCGTCATTGTTCTAAAGTTCAAATGTGCCACGGGACACTTGCCACAGTGTCTCCTTTTTACACACAGTGCTCACACACACCTCAAATCATAAGTATATTTTATTCATCTACTCCTTCAAGCTAGATGCCACTTTTTCAGGAAATCGCCCACAACTGTGCAGCTCTTGTGGCCTCTTGGCAGGACTTTGGCAATTGCAATTTATATTAATCTGTGTGAATTGGTCACTGACATGCTCTCCCTTTGGAATCAAATGCCATAATGGAAATGAGAATAGCAGCTTTTTTTTTTTAAAAAAAACAATTCCATCTCTAGTAAGTTACAGAATGCTAAGTATATGGTAGATAAATAGCAAACTATGCCAAGATAGGGATTTCCCAGATATAGTTTGGGGCAAAAGAAAGTTCTATGCTGGACAGATAAATCTGGGATCTGTTTTATGGAAGTGGAAGTCAATGTTTAAGACTTCTGGAAGCACACTTATGGAGAGAGAAGAGAATTGGAAAGAAAACAAAGACTTTGAGAACATCTGCATTTAAATCAACTTAGGAAGACAGAGGATGGTTGTCAAGGGCTGGGAAGTCATTCATACCACAGACTTCCTCAGCATTTCTAATTAGAACTTTCTGCCTTTAAGCTAACAGATTTCACAACCATGTATTGGGCTAAGGAATAAGTTATGATACCTTTAAAGGAAACAAATATAAGTCTAACATTAGTAATTAGGGTTAGTGATTAATAATAAATGATAATAATTAAGCTAATGTTATGATAATCATTAGTAACTAGAATTATCACTAATAACTACAGTGGTGTATTGTTTTTTAAAAAGATCACTATATTTTTTCCAGGCTTGTTATTTTTTTGAACTTGTAAAAATATGCCTACATGTAAATGATATGCTTGATGTTTCTTTTCTAGCCTGAGAGCACCTTAATGACGGTCTGTGAGAATGGTTATATTCTTGAATGTCCAATCCCAACCATTAAGGATGTTGATGATCATGATGTTGTCTCCTATGAAATCAAAGGCTTGCTCCTCAAATGTTTCCATTTCTCAAGTGTCAAGTCTAAGATTCTGGTATGAGATGTTCTTCAAACATTATCTCCCTTTTCTTTTATTTGAATATGTAATATTCTATTTGAAATTCTGGGAGAATACAAATAAAATGAACTAAAACCGACCCTGGCCTGAAGGAGTTTACACGCTAGGAGGAAGGTGGACAACTGTAGTAGGAAGCAATAACGGATAGATAACTAGAACCCTAGTACAAAGAAAGGAACTTCAGGGTGTGGCAGGACTGATGTTGCTGATGGAGGGATGAGGGTTTCAAAAATGGATAACTGGAAGTGATAATCAATGCTCATCCTGGAAGTGACAGTCAATACTCAGAGGATGGGAAGAAGCTTGAGAGAATGAGAGGAAGAGAGAGGGAATATGCTGGGAGAACCCTGGAGAGGCCACCATTTAGACACTTCTCAGTGTTTTCAGGAGGGGAAGAATGGCCAGTGAAATGGCCTCATGCAGTGTGTAGCAGATGTAACAGGACTAGAGTGAAGGTCTCTTTAGATGCCAATCAAGCTACACCAGTTTGAGCCACTGTGATGCTTTGTGAAGAGATGATTAGTGTGAAGAAAGCATATACGTTGGGAAGCTAGTTCTGAGGGGTAAATAGGACGTAGGGCTACTGGTGCTGGGGTACTCTACATTGGACAGTTGTTGAGATTGAGTGGCTACATCACAAATTTCCTCACTGCCTATTTTAGTCCACATGGTTCCTGGGTTGACAGTGACAGGCTTTGAGAAAACATAGCACTTTCCTTCCCTTATAGGAAGAATGACCAAAATGATTTCAATACAACGGGTATCAAGAGATTAAGAAGAAATGATGCTCATCACAAAGATTTGAATTTTAATGATACAAATGTATCCCCAAAGGGTAGTTATGTGTAAATGGTATCGTATTCAAGCTGTGGATTTTTCTAGAAACCATGACTTCCTTCTTCCTTCTACAATTTTTTGTCATGATCAGCCATAGAATAACACACGTTAAAAATGTCTATTATCTTTTTAAAAAGAGATTAATGGAAATTGAAAGGAGAGAAAAACAGAGGGAGCTGAAGGAGAAGGAGAAGGAAGCAAGGAGGAGGAAGCTCGCAGAGCAGAGGGAAGCGTTTGGAGAGGAGGAGTTACTGGAGGAGGGCAATGGTGAAGAGGAAGAGGAAGAGGAGCCTCTGCCTGAGATCTTCATCCCACCAACCCCCTCTCCCATCCTCCGTGCCTTTTACTCAGGGCCAGGGAGGTTCTGGGTGTCACTGGTGAGTGAAAATCCAAGACTTTTACCTCAGCCCTTGTCCAGTTCTGCTTATGGTCACTGTCTTTCACCAATTTGTGTGTTGAGAATGTAATTATTGATGTAGCTGTGGGTTTTAATGTAAGTTACAGGTTTTTTTTTTTAATATCATCTTAGCATCTCTTTTAAATATGTCTACCTTTTGTATCTGAACTTCAAACTCACCTGCTCAGGAATACCAAAGTGGGGGAAAATTTAAGAGCAGATAGTCAAAGGTTAAAGGGGCCCTCTACCCGAATCTGGTTTTTGTTGTTGTTTTCATTTTTTTGTTTGAAAACAACAGCTTTTGTGGCAGGACTGTGCAATGTCACTCTGCTAACACCTAATCTATGCTGTGTGGCCTAGGAGAGACTAGGAATCTGTGCGTTTTCAAGTGGCCTCATTCCACTCCAAACACAATAAGGAAGAATAATGGATGTTACAAAGATTGATATAAGGCAGTGTCACAATGTGTATGGAAGGTTGTATGTCCTACACTTACATACCAAATAGTCTTACCATGAAGCATTTTCTCAATATATTGCAAAACAAGATTTTCTTCACTATAGATATTACAGTTTTCACTTCTGAATGCACTTGCGCGTGCCCCTCCCCCCACACGTTCATGCTTTTCTCCTCCCAGATTATATGGGAAGATTATTACTAATTCATACTTGGTCCTAGCCTCTTAAAACCTAGGCATGGAGCTCTTAACTGAAATCCCCAACTTCAATTAAGCAATACAAAGTGGATCTAGCATCTCCGACAAGCTGGGTCCATAGTCCATGCTCTGAGGCTCTATGCCCCATCATGAGATGAAGCGCAGATCACAGAGGTAGCGTTCACCTTGCTTGATCCAGCCACGTACTGCTCTACCCATAGCCAAGCAGATGCCTTAGAAAAGCTGGCTGAATTGGGAAGTCATGTCTCCCGTCTTTAAATCAGGCCTCATATTGTTGGTCAATTCTTCTGCCCAGTTATGTTTATTTTATAGATTATTATTTCAATTTCCTCTCCCCACACACATTTTGCAACTTGCCCATCTCTCCAGACACTCATATTTCACAGAGAAAATAAAGGCAGTCAGATGGAATTTCCCCATCTTTTCCCATCTCTAGAACCCTGCAGAGGTCTATCTGTGCTCTGCTTTGCCTGTTGCTTAGCAGTTTGCCCAGGGCAGCAGTATTCCAAAAGGCCTCTTGGGGCTGTTCCTTCTCTTTCAAGCTCTATGTGACTTTTTTCTTTCTTTCTTTCTTTCTTTCTTTCTTTCTTTTTTTTTTTTTTTTTTTTTTTTTGTGGGGTGAGGGGGAAGTTTTCGTTCTTTTAAATTTATTAATTAAACTCAGTTTTAAATTTAATTTTACATTCCAACCAAAGTTCTCCCTTCCACCCCTCCTCCCGCTGCCCCCTCCCCCACAATGTGATTTTGCTTCTGAAACAAACTACTTAATATGTATTATCGCCTCCCATCTTTTAAAACTCAATTCATAACCACCAGCACAGGAAGTTCCTGTGATTTCTGAGCCCTCCTCCACTGTTCCTTTAGAGGAAACCCTGAAAACATTGTCTGCAGCCATCGAGTGTTCTTCCCCTCTTAATTGATCTTCAGCCAATTCCATTTGGGGTTTTATCACCATCTCTTCATTTCTCCAATGACTTCTCCATTGTCAGGCTCAGTGGTCACTTCTCTGTGCATTTGATCTGTTCACCTGTTGACTCTTCCTCCTCCTTAAAATGCTTTGCTTTCTTGACCTGGCTTCCAATACATCATCATGGCCACCATTGTTATTTTGTGGTGCTGGGATTGAACCCAGAGCCTCATGCATGCTAGATATACCCTCTACCACCAAGCTGCATTCCCACCTTCTCTTGGCTTCCAGAATCACACACACACACACACACACACACACACACACACACACACACACACACACACACAGAGAGAGAGAGAGAGAGAGAGAGAGAGAGAGAGAGAGAGAGAGAGAGAGAGAGAGTGGAGAAGTTTCAGGGAGGTAGTAGTGAATGGATATGAACAGAATACACTATATAAATGCATGAAGTTTTCAAAGAATAACTTAAATTTTTAAAAGAAAACCTGGAATGATATGTTCCTCAGGTACTTGCACACATGGGGAATACATTCTTGCAGACACCCACACGTGCACATATAAATTATATAAGCACAAGAAAATAAAAGGAATCAAAAATTTGATAGCATGACATAACAGAAACTAAACACAATGAGAATTACAAGCTAGTAGCAACTCCTGCTAAAACTATTTCAAACATAGGGGAAAGACTTTAATAGATTATTCTCCAAAGAAAAAAGTACAAATGTCCAAGGACCACATGGAAAGACACTCCACACCACCAGTCAAAGGCCACAGCGGGATGCCTTCTACCTTATCTCCCTTCCCATGTCATGTCCTTTTTTTTAAAAAAAAAAAATTGTTATTGATAAACCCTAAATCCATCTAGTGCTGCCCATTTCCACATGGACATGGACATGGACCCATGAGCAACTTAACATGAACCTACCGACAAAGTCTCCATTCCCCAGCAACCAGATATTGCCAAAAGCTCCTCTGCCAAGGGTGAGGCCTTGGGGACCCCTCTTCCATCCATGATGGAATTTTGACTGGCTTGGCCTTGTGCAGGTTTTGTGTAGGTGACTTAAACACAGTTTCTGTGAGCTGATGTCATTTCCAGAAGTCAACATTTCACAACTCCCCTTATCTTCCAGCTCTTACATTGTCTCTGCCTCTTCTTCCTCAATGTTCACTGAACCTTGGATCTACAGGAGGTTGCTATAGATGAGTTATCCACATTTGAACATACATAATTATTTGAGCACACCTACTACCCATTGCAAAAACAGCTTCTCTGAGCAAAGCAGAAAGTAGTTCAAACCTCTGGGCATAAACAAATATCTAGAAAGCAGTTTGACAACTTGACCATGTAGCAAATTAACAACAGTTCCCACCCCTGACACCATCTCTATCATCCCCATATCAGTGGCACTCTGGGATTTTAATGGAGTCCAGTGGAAAGTATATTTATAACACCCCCTTCTCTTTGAAATGGAAAGAGCTGGCCTTGCAATATGCCCAAGAAACCGTAGGTAGATCTGTTCAGCTTCTTTGCCTCTGATCTCCCACTTGATCTCTTCAGGCAGAAAAACAGCACAGCCTGGCTTACTCTTGAGTTTCTTTCCAGTTTAGGCCTTACAGCTGGTGGCTCCCAGTGCTTTCAAACATGGGTTGTGTGTGTGGTTTTTGTTTTTGTTTTTCTGGTTATCCCCAGTGGGCAAGAGTAGCTGAAACAATTCTGTCTGCCACTGGCCAGAGTGAAAACTTAGCCTCCTTATTTTTCAGACTGATCATTTTGTTACGTTTTCCTTGTTATTTACTCATTTATCTCATACATTGATGCCCAGAGCATTTCATTCACTTCCTTTATTAAAGGTCCCATCCATATAGAGAAAGAAGACAGGTTAAAACTGTGTCAATGCTACAAATGCTTAGTAGTCTTCTCCTTATGTAGTGAGATATATATTTCCCTAAATTGTCTTTCCTGGAAAATTAGTAGTGCTTAATGTTACCCCAAACTGATCTACAAAGCCTATTGTTTTTAAATACTGTTTATGCAGAATACCATTTCAAGTCATAAAATACAGTTCATTAGATACTCACAGGTGAAATCTCTCACATGCTGACTTCTGAGTAGAAATTAATTATCACCATAATTACATATTAGTGGGATATGGGGACACTTACAGAAATAATACCTGCCTTTAACCATCCAAATCATGTAGCAGAGGACGTGTTACAGCATTGTTTTGTGTTTTAAATTGGAAATGATCTTAAACTCCTCAGGGAATTGGCTGTGTACCATGTTCACAAACAACCTTTGTGCTTTCTATCTTCCAGGGCAGCTATGATTCTGGTTTTCTATATCACTGTCAGTTTCCCCCACTTTCCAGTGCCAGTGACTTCCAAGAACAGGAAGATGAACCATTTGATTTCCGTGTTCTTGAGGACACAGAGGACAACCCCATCCAAACATTCACTTTCAGGTGAAGAGAACTTTAAAAAAGGATTTTAGTGTCTTTGTGGATCCTGGATGTCTTGGTTTCTTTTCCTGCTGCTGTAACACACCCAGACAAAACACCACAGGAGAAAGGATCGATTTTAGGTCCCATCCGAGGTACAGTCCATCAAGGCTGGGACATCAGACAGCAGGATCACATTATGCCTCAGGTCAGAAGGAGAGAGCCATGTATATAAACTTGTGTTCAGCCTACTTTCCTCATACACTCCAGAATCCCCTGCCATGGCAATGGCCTAACCCATAATTAAGCGGAGTTTTCCCCTTAGCAATTACAATAATAAAGATAATCCCTTTCAGGCATTCTTTCAAGCAGACAACAGGAACCATCGTAAATGGAATTGTCACTTTTTAAAGATCTGTTCACGTGAAGGGAAACACACATGGTACCTGGTTAAGTTAATCGAATGAGCAAATAGAGTTAAAGCTAGCCTAGTCTTGAAATTGTATTTAAACCCTACAGGTTTTGTTTGTGCTGAATATTGTATCACAGTACCTGTTTATCACATGGATCTATGTCCATTTATGTACAAAGACGTGATTGTGTGGTAAGCAAACAAAGGACCAGGTTTACAATGATTCTGAAGCAATGATAAATTGGACTGCTCTCCATTTAATAATCAAGAACTAAGCACAAATGCCAGTCATTGTTTTGAGGACTGGAGACTAGCTCCAATGTTCAGATCGGCTCTCCCTCCCTATCTTTTCTTGTTAGCTCAGTACAGCTACTGTGACGGAACCACCTCATAATATGTGGTTTACAGCAGAAACTTATATTCTCATAGTCTGGAGACTTGAGCTCGAAGTTCAAGGTATTGACAAATGCAGTTTCTCATGAAGTCTGTCTGTGGCTTTCTCGTATCTGTCATGTTTCTGTGCCCTCATCCTGTCTTTCCTATGTGCAAGGTATCCCTAGTGTCACTCTGTGACGTTGTTTACAAGGACACCAGCCAGACTGGATTAGGATTTATTCTTATGCTTAATTACCTCTTTAAAAGTCCTTAACTTGCAATATAGTTACACTCTGGGGTATTGGATTTAAGCAATTGCATTTGATGGCACACAACTTAGTTCTTAGCATTTAAAATTAAACATTATTTGGCTGGTGGTATGGCTCAGTGCTAAAGGTACCACAGGCCAAGCTTGATGAGCAGAGTCTAATCCATGGGACCCACATTAGTGAAGAGAAAATCAACTCCCACTAGTTGTTCTCTGACCTTCACAAACTGTCTAAATATGCTGTGTCCTGTCTGGCTTGAGTCTTAAAACCCTGGTAGGAGATGGCAAAGGAATGAAGAAAGGACAGACACATAGATACACATACCCTGAAGATGGAGTCAGGAGGGGTTATCTAATGCTACCACTACCCTGCAGACTGGGGGCATCAGCATGTTTACTAGGTATAACACTGAAATAGGGCTTGGCTCACCTTGGTAGGAGGTCTCTACTGGCTAGCAGCCTCTAGCTATAAACACCTGGGGGAAAGAAGCCACGGGACTAGTGTTTTGAACACACGGATCAGTTCCTCATACATTCTCATCCTCAAACCCCAAAGAAAGCTTTGTCATTCATCTTGAGCCTGGTCAGTGTGGATAAGGGCTTTGCCAATTTCCCATGCTTCAGTTGGCCTTGTGGTCCTCATCAGGCCATGCCAAATACACATTATCTCAGGACCTCACTTATTCAGGGTTCCCTCTGCTCCCTACATAAATAGGTAAATAATTAAAGATTATTTCCCAGTTTATATACATTTTTTTGTCTCATAGTTCTAACCAGATGATGATGTTCTGTGGAATGAGAAACGGAGCAATTCGAGTGTATGTCCTCAGACAGAGTGACCCCTTCTTGACCAGTTTGCATGACTACTGGCATTTCAACGTGCATGACAATGATTATGGATGTATTAAAAGCATCTCTGTCAGTTTTGATAGCCAGTACTTGGTCACTGCTGGGGCAGATGGTAATATCTTTGTGTTCAACATTTTTTCTCAATTTATGGTTGAAAAACAGACCAAAGCCAAAGTGCCACCTCCCAGGGTACGTAAACAGTTAACCAATTAATTAACTAGTAATAATAGTGGACTTTAAAATAAAGTGATGATGTGGTGTTAAAGTCTTTAAATATTGAAAATAATTTAGACATATTAACATTATAATATAATCTTATTGGCAATAATCTATAATATCTGTAACTTATACTTTATAATCTAGTATTCCCACAGTGTTACTGTTGTTTCTGTATCAAATATTAATGGTACTGAATTATTATTATTATTAAAGTTATACAGCTTCCTACTGCATCACGTTTTCTTTATCAAACACTCTCTTAGCCAATGTTTCTTTTTTCTTGTTTTCTTCAAAATAAGGCAATATTTCTCAGGTCTGTAGTTTCTTTTTCCATTATTTACTTCTTAATATACTCTGATACACTTCTAGAATTTTCAATAGTGCCGTCAACTTTCTTTAGCATATTAATTAGAGTTGTCCTGGAGTCGATTTTTAAAACTTCCCTATGATATCTTTTGTCATTCTGTTTCATTGGTCTCCTGAATTTTTTTTCAATCAAATCTTGTCCTTCTTGCATGCCTAGGTATTTTTCCTTTATTGAGCCCTAGACATTTTATGTGATTCTGGGTGTGTTACATTTACCTCCTGAAGATTTATCTTTGCTTCTAGAAAGCAGGTAACAAGCCTAAACCACTCTATCCAGTCATTAGTGAGATATGATTTTTAACCAGGCTCTACTTCCTGAGAAGACTGTTTCCAGTTTATTCATATACCTAGAACGTGTCATTTCAGGATTTCTTTTTGAAAGATTTAAGTGTTCTTTGAAACCTTCATGCACTTCTATAATGTATCTGTTCATATCCATTCACTACTACCTCCCTGAAACTCCCCCATTGTCCTCCACTCTACCCCCTTCCCACATCATGTCCTTTTAAAACAAATATTGTTATCAGTCAACTCCTAAATCCACCTGGTGCTGCCCATATCTACATGGATGTGGGGACTGGGCAACCAATTTCACAAAGGAGAGTGAGTCTCCCCTTCCCTCATGGCAGCCAGGCATTGCCAGTACCTCTCTGCCAAGGGCGAGGCCTTGGGGACCCCCCCCTCCATCCAGGATGGAATTTTGACTGGCTTGGCCTTGTGCAGGTTTTGTGTAGGTGACCTAATCACAGTTGTTGCGAGCTGATGTTTTGCCTCTCCTTACAGTTTGGGATTGAATCAGAGCCCGTTCCAGAAGACATTGAAGATCCCAAAGCCTACAGGTTTGAAACATTTTGATAACTACTGATCAGGGCTGGGATTTTAGCAAACTGACATGTTACAGCAGCTGACCAAGGCAAATGCACTTCCAAGTTATTGAGTGCTAATTGTCTCTTACACCTTTTCTGTCACTGAGATGCTTGTTGCTTTACATTTTTGCTTTCAGTATTGAGAACGCCAGGAGGAAAAGGGAGTATGACAAGCTAATGAAGGAAGTAGAAGAAATAAAAGCCGCGAAGAGAGAGCAAATCAAAGCTTTGAGGAATGAATTTTGGAAACTGTTAGAAATGAATAAAGAATTACCGGTGCATATGCAGTTTCAGCGGACAGTGAGTCTGAATGATTGGTTTTTATTTCTGGGTTAGGACTATTTTGTTGGTAACAACGAATGCAGAGAAATCCTTTGTCCTAGCTAGCTTTCATTGTCAACTAAACACAGCCCAGAGTTACCTGAGGAATTTCCCAGATCAGACTGGTTTGTGATACATGTGTCGCGGGCGGCATTCATTGTCTTGATGTAGATTGATGTAAGAGAACCCCGCCCACTGTAGCCAGGCACCACCATCCCTTAGGCTATGTGAGAAAGCTGGCTGAGTGTGAGGTAAAGAGCCAGCAGTAATCAACATTCCCCTGTGTCCTGCTTTGCCTCCTGCTTAAGTTCCTGCCCTGACTAAGAACCTGTGACCTGTGACATGGAAGTGTAACCCAAATAATCCTGTTCCTCCCCCAAGTTGCTTTTGGTTGTGGTGTTTGTCAAAGAGACAGGAAAGAAATTGGGACATTGTCATTAAGTCTTCTCTTGCCTGGCCAGTCAATGTATTTGCATCACCTCAAGAGCTGTAACACTTGACACAGTTGGGATGGAAGCCAATGCACCTCTTCAACACAAAGTTGATTGCTGGACTTGGCTACCTCTGTGATGTACTTTTTTTAAATTATTATTCAGTAATAAGATAAAACAAAAACACAGGTTGGAACCTGACTTATCTTTTGTGAAGGTACAGGTAGAGTTTGATTCCATCATTTCATTTTTTAATAATTCATTAACTCTATGGGAAAGCAGTGCCTGGGCCAAGTCACAAAGCATCTAAAAGACAACAGTTTAACACAGTTTAACTTAGCTACAAGAACAAACACAGAAGTGTTCAAGCCAATTTTATATTCATTATTTCTTTTGTGACTGTCCTGTAAAACTCAATATACCTGCTGATAATTGGGCTATGTTTTTTTCATTCTTTGAAAGTTTTATCTATTGTATATTACATGCAAGTGTTGGCTTGCATGTATATATGTGCAATGTGTGCATGCCTAGTGTCCATGGAGGCCATAAGAGGGTTTCAGCTCCCTAGAACTGAAGTTACAGATGCTTGTGAGTTAAAATGTGGGTGCTAGGAACCAAATCCAGGTTCTCTGCAAGAGCAGCAAGCGCTCTTAACCACTGAGCAATCTCTCCAGCCCCTTTTATTTTCTTAACTATTTCCTAAATAGAATGATTATTGAGAGTCTAACAAAGAGGCTAAAGAGATGTCTTAGTCAATACAAGAATTTGAGTTCAAGCCCCAATAGTCTCAAAAAAAAAAAAAAACAAAAAAAAAAAAAAAAAAAAAAAAAAAAAAACAGGCATGGTGGAGCAAGTTTATAATTGCCAGCACTTGGTGGATAGAGATGGACACACCCACCTGGGGCTTGCTGCGTGATCAGCCTAGCCTCACTGGCAAGCTCCAAGTCCCAGTGAGAGACTGTCTCAAGAAATAAAGTGGATAACTTTTCTGGAATGACACCTGGCTTTCACAGATACATGTAGGTACATGTACACACACACACACACACACACACACACACAAATTTAAAAACAAAGGAAGGGCCTTTTGGATAAACAATCAACTTCTCTTCAGGATTTCAATATCGATGCCACAATTCATGCTGAAATCAATAAGACAACAATTTCCAAAATTCAGGAAGTGGAGAAGGAACTAGCTTGGGAAAAGCAGAAATATGAACTGGGCCTGAAGAAGCTCCAGAACAGGTATGTCTTTCCTGCAAGTTAAGATTTTACAAAGCACACTTTTGAATAGATGCCTGCGAGGTGCCTAGGCGAACTGTCTTACGAAGTACCCAGTGAGCAAGTGGACACCACAAGCAGCCTTCCTGTGGTGGCTGGGGTTTCCTGGGCTGAATGCTCACTCATTCGAGTTACATGTTGGGAATTTGGGGGACAATTATATTTTTAAAATTTACATAATAAATACTAGTTTCTATTTTGATAAAGTATTTGTTTTATGACAAGTTAAACCATGAACATGAAAGCATACATGTTTTAAAATCAGAACTCAAACATGGCTAGAAGACTTAGAGTAAAAGATAGCACACTCCTGTGTGATCGCCTCCAAGTGCCAGTTCAGCTTCCCAGAAGAAACAGCTCTTTTGCTTTTTTTATTGAAATTTGATTTATAGATAGTGAAGCACATGCATCTTAATTGAACAGCCTAATACTTTCTTTAACACACACACACACACACACACACACATGATTCCCTTTGAGATAGGGAACATTTTTATCACTCCAGGCCCCTCATGGCTCCTTTCAGCTAATACCTTATCTCTGATAAAGAATTTTTATTGCCATAAGTCACTTTTATCTGTGAACTCCATATAAATGCAGTGCTAAGTATGATCTTTGCACCTAGATTCTTTCATGCATTTATGTCTAAGATTATCCACAATAATGTTCATGTAGCTGTCTTTCTTCTTATAGATTTATTTTAATTTCAGTGTGTGTGTGTGTGTGTGTGTGTGTGTGTGTGTGTGTGTGTAGACCAGTCGAGGGCACTGAATCCAGTGCAGTTGGTAGCTATGAGAGTTTGTGAGCTGCCCAACATGGGTGTTGAGAGCTCAGCTCCAGGTCTCTGTAAGAATAGCAAGTATTTTTAGCCACGCTCTGGCCTCAAACTTCAGCCATTCTGTTGACAGGCATTTGAGAACTACCCTTATTGTCAGCTTCCCATAGTCTGCTCATTTCATAGAAATTATGTACAAACAAATCTCTTTAGCATGTGCATATGAGCATACAACACCATAGGATTTAAGGAAACAAAATGTGTTTGAAATATCTCAGCGAAGTAAAAATTTATCACAACTTTGATAAATAAATGTTAGTTTTCCCCTGCTTTTTAGGTTAGAAATCTCTCACTAGCACACAGATATTTACATTTTATACAATTTATATATTCCTATAAAATTAATTCCTACATAATAATACAATTTGTTATGCAGAATGCATACAGCAGTAATTATAGATATTCAGTTTGTTATGATCTGCTTTCCAGCCAGTTGGAACTTAACTATAAATTTTTATTTACCACAGATTAGCAAAACTTGATGTCTTATTGTTTAATTATGGAATGTTTAGTACTTTCTCTAGAAGTATTTTTTATTTGTGCTTTAATCAAGCCCAGTCCAACTTTCATAGCACCCTAATGGCATAGATATGGTTAAATTTTGAGCACTGCATAAACATATTGGTGTAATATGTGATCATGGCAAAATGATCAAAATAATAACTAGTGAAAATACCTGTTCTGTTTTCGTTTCTTTTTCAGATTTCGCGATCCACTGGAAAGTGATATTGTTGTGGTGTATGCCATCCAGAGTGACCACCAGATAGCATCCTATAGACTGGTGAAGCCGTCAAAGTATTCCAAATTAAAACGACCAAGTCAGTCGGAGAGAAGAGCGAGCAAAATGGAGAGGTTTGAAAAGGAAGGTCCCGGAAGGAAGGAGAGCCTTAAAGATACAAGTGGGTGTCCGGATGACAAGAGGCTTTAAATCCATATTGCAAAGATTTCAAAACAGACTTTACTTTTCATAGGAAGGGACTTTGATCTTGCATTGGTGACTTGTGCTCAATTTGTCTTCACTCTATGATCTTCTGCCTTGCAAAATGTAATCTTGCAAGTCAGGGTGCAATAGCACAGCTGAGACTAGCTACAGTAGCCCTCCACCCATGCGCAGTGCTTGCTTTTGTTACTGTGTACGCGCTGCTAAAGCAATTCACCCTTGGCGGTGTTACTCTGACCGTGGATTGAGAACGTGGGATAAGGCAGCTTTCTTGCTTCAGATACCCAAGTAGCCTCAAATGTAGATTTCCCCAGAGTCTGTCCTCCTTCCCCCATATTCCTGGTTCCCACCACCCCAAAAATGTAGAGCAAAAAAAAAAAAAAAAATCAATGTTTGTTTTGACTTCTTTTTTTGAGACAGGGTTTCTCTGTATTGCTTTGGAGCCTGTCCTAGAACTCGAACTGTAGACCAGACTGGCCTTGAACTCACAGAGATCCGACTGCCTCTACCTACTGAGAGCTGGGATTAAAGGCCTGTGCCACCAACACCCGGCTTTTTAAGAAAATATTTATTTATTTATTGGCATACAGTATTCTGTATGCATGTTTTTCCTGAAGGCCAGAAGAGGACACCAGATCTCAGTGAGGCACCATGTGGTTGCTGGGAATTGAACTTAGGACCTCTGGACCCCTGGAAGGCTCTTAACCACTGAGCCTTCTCTCCAGCCCGACTTTTCTTTTCTCTTTTCTTTTCTTTTCTTTTTTTTTTTTTTTTTTTTTTTTTTTTTTTTTTTTGAGACAGGGTATTTTGTAGCTCCGACTGTCCTCTAACTTACTGGTAGCTGAGGCTAGCCTTGGACACCTGTTCCTTCTGCCTCTCCCTCCCTCCCAAGTTCTTCTGACTAATTTTTATTTCTTCTTTTATTCTTGAGAATTTCATACATGACTATAATGAACAACGATCCCTCACCCAATCATGTCTTAAAAATAACGTACTAAGTCCATTTTAGTGTTGCTCATATGTGTTTGCATATGGGGCTGTCCTACCAGAACATGAGAATTCTACAGTGGCCGTGCCCTCCTGAATAAAGAGCACTCTGTTTAATTAGCCACAGACCATTTCACTCAGTCGTACTTCAAACTTTATGTCAAATCAAGACTCTCTCAGTCCTGACTGCGATCTCACGGACACCCCTCTTCAGTTTTGTCAACCTGTCAGTGGCCCGTCATTACTTTTGCCATTCTGTAAGTAGTTGACATTGGTTTTATCTTGCCATTTTTTTTTTTTTTTTTTGTATTTGACTCTAAAATTTACTCAGCTGACATTTGATATTTTAAAAAATTAAAACCAGAGGATATTTTTTAAATGTATTTTAAAGTTTCTTTTATTTTTGAAATTATAATTACATCATTTCTCCCTTCCCTTTCCTCTCTCAAAACCCTCCCACATACCCCTCCTTGTTCACTTTCAAGCTCGTGGCCTCTTTGTTCATCAGTTGTTACATACACATATGCATGTATGTACATGTATGTGTATATGTTCATATATACATGAGTGCTGCAACCTCCTCAGTCTGTGTAATGTTACTTGTATGTGTGTTTTCAGGACTGACCTTCTGGTACTGACTAACCAATTGGTGTGCTCTTCCCAGGGGAAGACTATTTCTCTCACTCTTAGCAACCCTTAGTGGCCTGTAGTTTCTATGTAGACTTGAGGGCTTGTGGTTTTCCCCACTCACTTAGCATGCCTGTCATCCTTGTTCAGCCTGTGTAGGCAGTCATGATGCTGAGACTCTATGGGTGTGGCTTCCGACGTTCTTAGGAGACACAGCCTCAGAGCAAACTCCCTGATTGCTGTCTCTCACCGTCTTTCACCCCCCTCTTAGGAGTTGTACTGAAATTGGCTAACTTTTTAAATAAAAATGCTTAAGAGTACTCTTTGTGACTTAGAGCTCTATTCTGACTTTTCACAGTAGGAATAGTAGATAATGTAATGGTTACTCAACTTCAACATTTTTCACCCAGCCATTCTATTTTCCACTGTCAGGACAGTATTTTAAGAATTACATGAGATACTCAACATCTTACTGTAGACTAGGCCTTGGCTGTTGTGTAAGATAATGCAGGTATTCTGAGTATGATGACAGTCTATGGGCTAGATATAATAAATGCAAAATCAGCCATTTTCAATTTGCAGTGGTTTTATCGGGATGTGACCCTGGGTCAAAGGTCAAGGAGTATCTATGGCCAGGGGGCTGAATTCATGATGAGTTGATTTCATATTTGCTCTTGATCTTTTTGTGTGTGTATAAGTTGAAAACAACATTTGAGAGTTATTTTTCTTTCTCAGAAGTATTGAAAAAGTGATTCTTTGTACAGGCGGAGGTGCTAACCTACAAGAAGAATCAATCATAGAAAAAGGGAAGAAATATCGGCCTAGAACCCTGAGTGAAATTATGGTAGGAAATCAAATTGAGAAAACAAGGAAACTTATACAGAAAGCTGAACGGGCCCAGCTTAAGATTCTGCAGCGCAAGAAGGAGTGGGATGAGCTGTAAGTTATGCTTAACCCGTGCCCGTACCCTGCTAATCCATGGCCCACAAATGTCACTTTATACATTTTATCTCTGTTGACATGCTGGTTACTTTCAAATAGTAAATAAAAACTACAAACAGGACAGAGACGTGAAGGAGCAGTTGGCATCGCTCTGAAGTGGCCGTGCCTACGTTTTGCTGGCACTCCTGTAATCTTTAGTTTCTGCTTCAAAAAGTCTATTTTGTTAATACAGACAGAAGGTCTTTTAAAGATTCATAAATTCTTTTATGTCCCAATATCATAGAGAATGTGATGTCAGTTGTATCCAGATATGAGGCTGGCGAGTCATATAATAGTTGTAGGTTTCATGTCTTGAGGGACTTTTCATCTGGGTTCTATTAGGGCGGTACCATTCTTTCATTAAACTGATACTACACAAGAACTCACATATTTCCACACTTTTCCAGTGCTTGAGCTGCCTGGTGTTTTGATTGTAGGTCACCCTGAAGGATGTGAAATGAACATCTTGCTGTGGCTTGGATTTATATTTTCCTAGTGGTTAGCAATGATGGACTTTGTTGTTGTTTTCTGAGACTCTCTCTACATAGCCCTGGTTCTCTTGGAACTCACTATGTGGACCAGGCTGGCCTCAAACTCACAGAGATCCACCTGCTTCTGCTTCTGAGTGTTGGGATCAAAGGGTGAACCTGCACACCCGGTGACTTCTTTGCCTTTTAAAAATCATGCCCATTGGGTATTTGTGTGTCCTCCGAGGAGAAACACCTCTTCAATTTCTTGCCCATTTTTGAACTAATTGAACTAATTCAATCGGTTTTAATATCACAACAAGTTAAGTTCAACTTCATATGAAAGCTCTACTTTTAAGTTTTACTTATTTAGATGTGTATGTCTGTGAGTGTGTGTGCCTGTGTGCTTGTGGAGCCTAAGAGAGTGTTGGATCCCTTGGAGCTAGAGTCACAGGCATCTGTGGGACACCAGCCTGGTCACATGGGTGCTGGGATACGAACTCTTCCAGTTGTGGTCGTGTGGCAGGCACTCATAACTATCTCTCCAGCCACCTAAAATATACTCTTAAATCCCCCATGGTTTGTATTATTATTGTCACCATTTAAATCTACTTGAATAGTATTTAAACTGTTTTGAACTGTTATGATTTTTGAGAGTCAGCTTCAGTTTTCATAGTGAAATTTAGAAATTACTTATCCCTCATCATTACAGGTTTACTAATACAAACATTCTATACTACTGAAACCCATGTATATTAACCATTGCAAGTGCATTCCATACTTCTCTGTGCATTACATTTCTCTTTGTTGCTCTTTCATTTCAATTGAAGCTCTCCATTTGGCATTTCTCATACAGTAGGTTATTGGGCATCACCCAAGCCTTTGTACTCTCTCTCTCTCTCATCCTCCCCCCCTCTTCCCCTCTCTCCCCTGCCTCTCTCCTCCCACCTCTCTCATTCAGAGACCTGAAGCTGGCAAGAACCTCTAGAAGGTTCTGGAGAACACAGCTTTCCCCCCACCCCAAGGAGATCCTGGCAACTGGGATTTTTTCATTGTTGAGTATGTGCTAAGCAAAGGAGAGAATGTCTTCTTACACAGCCGGACATGCCATCCTGACTCTTCTGCCAGCTCTGGTTGTTCAGTCCAGCCCCATCAAGGCCTTCTGAGAAAGCTGTTCTTTTTGGAGCCCCTGGGAAAGCCGTGATGTCTATGGAAGGAATATAGATTTTACAAAAAACAAGTGAGAGGCGTCTGTTCCTACTGTCCTTTCTGAAGGTGTTTGGGTAGGCTTGCTATTTCGACTTTCCTATACACTTGATATAAGTCACAAGTAAACGACCTGATTTTGTAGTGTTTCTGGAAGATGACTCCAAACACAAATTCCAACTATTGTGACAGTGCTTTTCAGATTTTTAAATTTCTTCTTGCATCAGTTTTTTCAATGTGTGTCTTTTAAGAAATTGATGCATTTTACCTAGATTTTCACTATGGGGTGGCTTCCTTGGTATTTGTTTCAGTCACTTACCTTTAGTCCATGAGAATTTAGTTCAGTTAATAATTTATTTTTCTTGGCCATTCTAGCCTATCATTCACTAATCTTACTAATGTTTTCAAAAAAACTAACTTTTGCTCACAGGCCTTAAAAAATTTGTCCACTTCCTGCATTGCTGATTTTAAAAATGATTTCCTTCTTTTGTGTGTGTGTTAATTGGATTTTTCTTCCTTCTTACATTGTAAAGTGAGTGTAACAGCTTTGATTTCATGCCTTTCTCCTTTTCTAGCCTGTGAAGTCTAAATTCCCCTCTAAGCATGAACTTAATCATGTTTTGTAAGTTTTCATGTATTCTCATTGCCATTCAATATAAAATGTTTCTATGATCTCTTGGGATTTCTCCCATCATTTCTGTTTCATTTTGACATAGATTTCTGACAGTCTTACTTCATATGGCTCTATATTCTTTCCACCAAGGACCTATCTACTTTGGCTCCTCTGTGTCCTCAACTAGTGAGCTTCCTGGTTACATTTGGGACAGTAGGACTCTAACCCTACAAACTCTGTAATCTAGTGACTTCTTCCATGCTGAAATCAGAGGCTAAAATTACTTGTTTTATTTCTCTGAGGAATTGGTTTCATATTGCCTATAATTTATGTCTCTTGATGATGTTTATATGTCTCAAAGTAGCTGTTTCGTATTCTTTGGTTCAAATGTCTAGTTGCTTATGTCACTAGGATGGTTATAGCCATATTTTGTGTTCTCTGCCCCCTCCTCCTCTTCTTTTTTTCCCCTGTATGTGGCCATTCTTCACTTTAAACACAAGTCTTTTTTTTTTTTTTTTTTTGGTGTATGTGTGAATGAATGAATGAATGGTTGTCTATGAATACATGCATTACATGTGCTCCCTCTGCTAGCTCACACTGTGTGTTCCCAAAGGGCTTTAGTCTTCAAGGAAAGTGTGACTGCAGGCCAAGAATACACACGCCTGTATGGGCTGGCATACTCCACTTTCAAGAATCGTGGGGGGATGTTGAAAATTCGCAATTAGAGACCTTGCAAGGGATAGCCAGTGATACCTGAGACTCCCTAAGCAGGAGTTCGGTTTCTTTAGAGAGCAATTCTCCGTTTTTGTCTTGGCCTGAAAGCTGCCACTGATTGGTTTGCATGGAGATGGGATACCTGAGATGCAGCCATCTACAGCCCATTAACGAATTTTACAAGTGTGCCTAGCATTCCACTTCATTCTTTACACCTGTTCCCTGGAGGCTCTACTGAGAAAATGATATACAAATGATATCCTCCAGAATGAGGTATTCTGTGCCATAGATTTTTCTATGCATTCCCAAACTGCATCAATGTAATTGGCTTGCTCATAGTTTTGCATCCTATTTACAACATCTCTGATGGTTATCATTGGCTTTTGTGCCTCCCTGCAGTAATTTTGAGGGGACTCTGGGAGGAGGCATCAAGTGCCCATTTGGAGTTCATTATTTCATTCATGCCTACCTTGCCTGTTTTCCTGACAGTTACAAGAGCAAGCCAGATGATGACTACGAAGACCCCAAGGACGTTCAGGCCATCAGAGAAGCCCAAATATTCATGGGGGATTTCAATCTGAAGACATCCCCAGACTACAAGATACCCGAGCACATGAGGATAAATGCCGCCAAGAAGGAAGAGGAACTGGGGCACCTTGACTCAATGGTACCTAACCCTCAGGCTCCCTGACCATGACAAGTGCCCTGCTGTTATCCAGAGTCTGCTCAACCATCTGCTTAGTTCGTTGGTCCAGAAATGTATATAAACGTAGACATTCAGAGTTGAAAATGATTTTTATAGGAAACTAGATTATACCTTCTTTTTTTATAAACGATGAGACAGGGACCCAGAGGAAACGGGAGATTTGTCTATGAGTGTATAAGCTCACATGGCAGAACCAGCCTTCACATTAATTATATAGCTTGATACATTTTGGAGGGGTGGAATGTACTGTACTGTTTCATGAACATTGAACTTCTGAAATTCAGTGAAATCCTTGGTAGATTTGTTTACTGGATGTCAGGGACCACTAGACAGTTAGGAAGGATGTCACCATCTAATCTGTTCTTTACAGCACTTCCATCTTTTGTCAGAAACTTAAAAACTCTCCAGTTTTTAAAGTGTGACTGATCATATGAACTCTGATCCTCATTTTTCTTATTGTTTTTCCTTCCTTACTCGTTTCTTCCTTTCTGAGGGATTTTAATTTTTCAGGCACCATTTAAACCCAGAGGTGATTGATTCTTCACACCTCTAGGCTCAGAAAGCATCAAGCTACCTTTTTTTTTTTTTTTTTTGAAGGAGAATTAGCTAGCTGGCCATCTACTGTGTTGTACAACCTACACAGCTCAAGGTGTGGTGCCAACAAATGTGCCACTTCTGTATCTGTTGGTAGCATATTTGAATGTTTTTTAAAAAAGGATTTATTTACTTGTTTTTATTTATTATATATAGTGTTCAGCCTGCATGTATGCTTACATGACAGAAGAGGGCACCAGATCTCATTACACATGGTCTGTGAGCCACCATGTGATGTCTGGGAATTGAACTCAGGACATCAGGAAGAGCAGCCAGTGCTCTTAATCTCTGGGCCATCTCTCCAGTCCTTGAATGTTTTAACTGTTTCTGAGAAATGGAGATAAAATATACTGAACAAGATTTGTCATGTTCTTTTTCACAAAAGATGTTATTTATGCCAGTGGTGAATAGATATCTTGGCATGCTAGCTAATATCCACAAATGAAGGATCATAGATCATAGATTCATCCTTTTGGTCAACATTTCAGACATCTTATTAGTGATCATTTAGATTATTTTTCTAGCTTTTTGGTTTTTGGTTTTTTTTTTTTTTTTTTTGACTAAGGCAACTTAGTAGTATTTATTATTTACAGACATATATTATTATGAGCATATTGTTTGTTTTATGTTGTAAGGGTGCTCTACCTGCATGTATATTTGTGTACCATGTGAGTGCATGGTGCCCACAGAGGCCAAGTAAGGGCATCGGATCCTCTGAAACTGGAGTGACAGATTGTTGTGAGCTGCCATGTGGTTGCTGGGAATCAAATCCGGATCCTCTGTAGGAGCAGCTCATGCTCTTAACTGCTGAACAATCTCTTCAGCCCTGACCACACATTTTAAAAGAGATCTCTGTGCACTCTTTTTAAAAAAAACATCATTTATTTTTATGTCATATGCACCTGTGTATGTATACCATATGCATGCCTAGTGCCTGTGGAAGCCAGAAGAGGGTATCAGATCCCCTGGAACTGGAGTTAGTGATGTTTATGAGCCCCCATGTAGGTGCTGGGGACTGAACCTGGGCCCTCTGCAAGAGCAGCAAATGATCTTAGCTGCTGATCATCTTTCCTGTCTCTTGACCACATTCTTCCTGCCCCCCCCCCACACACACACTGAGATAGAGTTTCTCTGTGTAACAGTCTTGGCTGTCCTGGAACTCACTCTGTAGACCAGACTGGCTTCGAACTCACAGAGATGAGATTCTCCTGTCTCCACCTCCCAAGTACAGGGATTAAACACGTGTGCCACCACCACTTGGCCACAATTTTTATTCTAAGTCCATTTGAAGTTCTGAAGTTGCTTAACTAGCTATTGCCTATATGCCTACATTTTCATATCTCATAATCTATATTTTAAGCCACTAACTTTAGTCATTCAAGCCAGAATTTATCTCTCTCCTTCATTCTTCCTTTCCTTTCCTCATTAAAAAAAAATTTTTTTTTGCAGTGCTTGGAATCAAACTCAGGGCCTCACATATGTCAGGCAACAAGTTTAACCCAGTCTACTTGGCCTGAAATTCAGTTTGCATAGAGATAGGCAGCTGTGGCATGAAGAATAAACTTAGCTATATCATACTGAGATGTACTGCAATAGAACAGTAGCATGCAGCATCCTAGAGCCCACTGTTCTGCACACAAGGAGGGTAGAAACTATTTCAGAATTACTGGTCGAAGAAATCTCTTAAGTCTGAATTATTTCACCTGAGAAGCAGTATTAATATCAAGTAAAACAATATGATAATAACCTTATACAGTTAATGGAATGCTCAGAATCAATGAGTAATTATTGTCATGGTCAATTTAAGATCATTGAAGGATTAGTGTTTTGTTTTTTCTTTAATCACATATCCATCAATTCAGCTGGCATAATAGTATTGATTTTCATCCTGATGAGATCTGGAATCAGTAGGAGACAAGCTTCTAGGGGCATGTGTGAGGGATTGTTTAGATTAGATTAGCCTAGGGCCATGCCTGTGATTATCTTGATTAACCCAGGTGAGAAAACCCATCCAAATAGTGGATGGTACCATTCCCTAGGCTTGGGTTCCAGATTATATTAAAAAGGAAAATCTAGCTGACTGATATCAAGCTCTCATTGTTTCCCTCTTCCTGACTGTGGATACAACATGACTAACTACCAAAAGGTCCTGCTACCAAGATTTCCTAGCTATGAAACAACGCAAATCTTGAAATAACAATACCTTTTTTTCCTCTTAAATTGTTTTTGTCAGATTATTTCATTACAGCAACAAGAACAGTTAGTTACTAGTGCAGTTTCAATTTGTTATTTGCAGAACCAGAAAGGATGAGGGCTTGTCTTACTTTCATTTCTGTTGCTGTGATGATGGTGTCTCGACAGAAAGCAACTTGAGTGGCAAGTTAAGGGGTGGTTTATTTCACCCCTTAAATCTAGGCTGTAGTCCATCATGGCAGGGAAGTCAAGGGGACTTAAAACAGCCAATCATAGTGTGTCAACAGTTAATAGCTACTTGTACCTGCTCACGGCTCAGCTTCCCTGCTCTGCTTCTATGCATTTGAAGATCCCAAACCAAGAAAGGCTGCCATGCACAGTGGGCTGGTTCTTCTTACATCAATGATTGTAAGCAAGACAACCCCCACAGACACACCCATAGGCTACCTCATGTAGACAGTCCAACACAGAGGCTCTTTCCAGATGATTCTAGATTGTGTCTAGTTGACAATGAAGACTATCACAGGGCTCCCCAGTGAAATTGGCTGTGTAGTCATTAGAGTCATCAGGTTTGTTCATGTATGCCTCATCTTCTACTTACTAGGTGCTTCATAGGTGGGTTCCACACATAGCCAATGCTTTCTTTTCATTTTAAGTCTTAATCCTTTAAAGCCTTATTCTCAAGTAGGTAAACATCTTGATCTTGTTTGAGTAACACGTTAGGTTTGTCATAGTAAATTTATAGGTAAGTTTTGTAAGATTACCTGACAAAGTGCTTTTGGTCTTTTATTTAAAAACACTTTATTTCATGCAAAGTGATGCTTAGTATGGGTAGCTGGCCCAGGGTTTGCTGTGCTGTTAGGTGCTGGGCGATACTTTTAAGACAGAGATGGTTACGGACAAGCCATGGATGGATGTGGTACTTGTGCAGGTGTGCCTTGGCTCTCATCAATGGAGAGAGAACCACAGAAGGATCTCATGGTGTGCTGTGTGGCACTGATGTTTCAAATCATGACCACAAAAGAGTTACAGTAAACATGGCTGAACTACAGTGTGAGAACAGGAAGACATGTAGTTAGGTTCTGGGTGGGCGGTCGTGTTGAATCTAAATAAAAAAGATACAAATCTCCCTCTAGGAAAGGCAGTTAGTTAATGGCCTTCCTATCTCAGCACAAGGTTTCCCGAGAGACTGTCATGAAAGGGTGAAGGACAGAAAACAGCCTTGCAAGCCAGCTATCAGAAGGGGGCAAATGGAAGAAAGTGAAAGGAAGCCAGAGGTCACAGCCAGACTGGCCTCCAGTCCTAATGCGTGATACCTGTAAGCTAGAGGAAAGCAAACTGAAGCAGTGGGCAGAGATGTCCACGGTTCCCTAGGCCCACCAGTTGGAAGATAAAGGGTAAATGACTTCCAGCCTGCCCTTCGTGAGACAGTTGTGATGCTGCTTCCTTTCTCTCCCCTGTTTCAGGCCCATGCAAAGAAGAAGTACATGAACAAGTGCATTCTTTCCCTTCGAGATCTTAAGCTTGCTGTCATCGAGGAAATCCAGTGCCTGGTACAAGAACTGAAGAACATTCAGTTGTCCATCCCCTCGTCCAAGCACATACCCATTCCTCAAGTCCCGCAGATATATCCAGAAGAAGTCCCAGAAAGGAGATTTCAATATGACGAGGAAACACTCTTGAGATTTCAGAGAAAGCAAAAGAAACGCCAGGGGGACAGGGACAGGGAAGACAGCAAGCAGGTTGGATCTGGTAGCTCAGGTGGAGGAGGTTTAGGGTTCCTCAAACTATCTCATGGAAAGGAAGGAGATGTGACAACGCGAGACTCCCTGTCTAGGTCATCCAAGGCATCAGCATTCATCTTGGATCTTCCTAAGTCGTCAGAGTTTGAAAAGGCCGAGCCAAGTGATGTGGAGCTGGAGATCATGAAGAGAGAAGAGGTCAAACATTTGTACATGCAACAGTATTTGTGCAACAGGGTAAGAGGCAAAGCCATCCCTCTACTTAAAACCAAGAGAATGAGTAGTAGGAGAATTTGGTCTGGTTTATGATTGATTGATTTCAAATTTCTAGACACTAACCCAAGTGCTGACCAGCTCATTATTCACCGATGGCTTGGTTTTCTCCCATCATTAGTCTCCTAACAAATCTTTGTGCTCTCTGTATAACGTTGGAGCTCTGTATCTTTTCCTACAGGTTAATACATTGGAGGACAGTGAAGTCTAAAGGGAGCTGGAGGACCAGTCTTGAGGAGACAAATAGAATGCTCTTAAAGGGGGGACTCTCTGCTTTTCACATACCATCCTCTCTGCCTGCCTGCCTGCTTGTGTCTGTCTGTCTCTTCTCTCCACCCCATCGACCTTGCTCTCTGGTCTCATTTTGTAGCTCAGGTTAGCCTAAAACTCACTATGTAGCTCAAAACTGGCCTCAAAGTTATGGCTAAACCTGCCTCAGCCTCTCCAGTGTTGGGATTACAGATATGAACATATAATCACGCCCTTTCTTTACTGCATGTTTTTGCAACAGTAGGTGGTAGTGTTTGTGGTGACAACAAGGTTTGCAACTTCCAGAAATGACAGGCACTGGTATTTCCAGGAAAATCAGAACTGGGGTCGGTCGGACCAGAATTGTGGGGCATAGTTGGACTACAGAAGAGAACCTTTCTTCCATCAACAGCGCCCTGCCTCCAGACCTATAGAAGGAGGCCCTTCCTCAGCCATTTTCAGCGTCACCCTGCAACAGTGCTCCCTCCCTCCCTATAGCTCCCCCCTTCATCATCATCATCATCATTTCTACTCCATCCAGGCTGACTCTCCCACCATCCCTGCCCCTCGGGCTCTCCTTTCACCCCCATTGCATATCAGAGCTTTCCCTTTACTACTTTCTTGTCATTGCAATAACTGCACAGAGCAGTCCACACCCTCTGCAGCAGCATCTTCTGCACACACCCTGTCTTTGCTTGAGAACTCCTCACACTGCAGCCAGCTCTTCATGTCTTACACTTGTCTTTCCTGGTGCGTCACATGTGTTAGTTTTGCCTTACAAAGCAGATGGAACAGTTGTTCAGATAAAGGGCCACACCTCTTCTGTTTCTCCCGGGATGCCTAGACACAGGGCATGGCAGACATATAGTAATAGATGTTCATATACAAGCTTTGTCATAATCACACTAATGTATTGGTTTTAGCAACTGAACAAATGTTTGCTGGCTATACCACCTGCAGAGACACACTAGCCAGGTAGAGGGAACATAGCAATGCTCAAGAAAAACACTATTATCCATAAAATTAGCAAACTCTTAGCTGTGAGAGCCAGCAGAATAGGAATAACCCTTACCGACTTGGACACCTATGTAGTCCAGTTTCAGCATTTTTTTTTTAAAGAAAATGTCCTCCTGCCTCCAGAGAAGTTAGGAAGAATTCAACTTTATTGAATAAACATAAAGGAAAGCCCAAATATATATTCTATAACCACACTTACTTAAAAGCTTGATTCTTTTTTCCTTGTTTTGGGTTAATTTCTGTATATTAGCACTCTAAAATTCTCTAGCAGTTTCTCCACCACAAACCCACAGACCTCATCCTGTCCATTACAGTCTAGTAGGGAACTTCACATACACTGTTTTTGACAGCCAAGACTTTTTGTAATGTTCAACCTAACAACAGTCAGTGGTTTTCCTCTTTCCAGTGTGTGAGTTCCCTCAGGGATATCAACACTCAGGGCTCCCTCTTAGGTTCTTCACAAACTCTGAGATGAGCATATAGAGCTGTGTCCAATCAGAGCACACACGGGGACTTAGAGTCACCGTGGTCAGAGCAGATAGAGTAAGGTCCAGCTCAGGAACTGGGACTTGGATTTCTATTCTACCTCTTTAGTGAGGTAGCCTTGATTACAGGGAAATCTCCTTTAACCTCATTTCTTCACTTGTGAAACATGACGACTGAACAGCTTTTTGTGACTCTATGATTCTGCTTTCTTTAACTTTTATTCTTCTCTCATGCATTACATCCTGACTGCAGTTTCCCCTGCCTGCACCCCTCCCTCTCCCTGCCTTTCATCTCCTCCTCTGTTTCCCTTCAAAAAAAAATTAAATAGATAAAAAGAGCAGGCATCCCAGGGATGTCCACCCAACATGGCCTAAAAAGATACAATAAGTCTGGGCACACACCCCCATATTTTATCTGGATATGGTATCCCAGTAGGAGGAAAAGGGCCCCACGCACAGGCAAAAGAGTCATAGACAGCCCCGCTCCCATTGTGAGGAGTGTCCCACAAGAACACCAAGCTACACAGTCATAAGGAAGATGCAGAGGGCCTAGCTCAGACCCAGACAGGGTCCATGTCTGTCATGACCTGTGAGTCCCTGTGAGCCCCTCTGCGTCCTGCTTAGCTGATTCCATGGGCTGTGTTCGCATTGTGTCCTCTACCCATTTGACCCTACAGTCCTTCTTCCCCCTCCTCTGCAGGGTTCTCCTGGCTTTGCCTAGTCTTAGGCTGTGGGTCCTTCTATCTGTTCCCATCCGTTTCTGGATCACACACCTCTGATAACAATTGGGTTAGGCCCCGATCTTCCATTCTACATTTTTGAATCTTTTTCAAAATCTAGGAGTTAAGGGTTAGAATTACTGTGAGAAAGCACTGAAAGTGGGGTAGATAAAGAGGACGCAGACATAAAGGATGTCACTGAACAATGGCTTAGCTAATGATGATGTGGCTGAGAGGACTACAGTTACAGCATTCCCACCACTAAATTGTACAGATTTAATGCCACTTATACGTGAGTTTATAATGAGCACATAATTATATCTCTATTCAAAATAATTGCTTAATGAAAAATATTATAGACACATTAGTACTGTTGGATAGTTCAAAAACGAAAATTTGCATTTTAACTTATACATCCTCAAATCTCTTTTTCTGTCTCAGATCAAAGAATTGACTGTCACATTTGATGCAGAACTCCATCTTCTGAGACACCGGAAGCTGAAGCTAGACACTAAGATGAAACTATCTGACCTACACCATGTCACATTATTTCAAGAAATGCTTCTCCTCAAGAATTTTGAAAAACAGGAAAATATTCTTCAAGAGCGTGTTAATTCTTTAGACAAAGAGGAGCAAGACATGCAAGTAAGAACAGGTTGAACCCTGGCTGGCTGCTCCCCTTAAATTAGGGAGGTGATTAAAGTCCTAACCACACAGACCTGGGGACATACATTTGACTCCCTGTAAAATGTGTGGTTTTTACCCAGGTAAAAACCTGGGCATAGCAGACCTTGTCTGTAATCCAAGTCTGGGGAGGCCGAGAAAGGAGGGTATCTGGATCTTATCAGTCAGCCAATCTAGTCAAACTGGCAAGCTTTGGGTGTCTCCGAAAAATAAGACAGAGAAGGCTATCTTAGCTTGGTGGGTAAAGGCACTTGCCAGTAAGCCTGATGACTTGAGCTCAGTCCTTCAACCCACATGCTAGAAGGAGAACCAACTCTCAAAAATTGTTTTCTGGCCACACATGCACTGTGGTACACACACACACACACACACACACACACACACACACACACACACACACAGACAGACACACACGAGAGAGAGAGATGCTTAAAAACAATAAAGTATAATAAGATAATGACTAAAAGAGACATAGCATCCATCTCTAGCTTCTACACGTGTGAATACATGTTTCCTTATACACATATGGACATACACAAAATCTAGGAACCACATATGAGAGAAAACATATTTGTCTAGAAAGACAAATACTGGCTTAATTTGCTTAATATAATTATCTCCAGTTACACCACTTTTCTGTAAATAGTACTTTTTTATAAGAACATTTCTATCTATTTGTTGACATTTTCACATTTGCACACATGTATCCTGACAGTTTCCACCCTATGGCTCCCTCCTTTCAGCTCCCCAGATCCTCCCAAATAATTTTATTCCTCCTCCTCCTGTTGTTGTCCTTCTCCTTCTTCTCCTTCTTCTGTGGGGGCAGAGGGTCTAATTGCTGACTACAGCTTCCCCTTCCTTGGCAGTCGTCCTGAGACTTCCAGATGCCTGTCAGAGCCCTGGGTGTAGACAGGTCTCAAGTGCTGGTTTTAGTCCCAGGTCGGGTTTCAAATGCTATCTTCACTCTTGGCAGTGAGGCTCATCTCTGGTCATAGATTCTGGTCATATCAGTGGACAAGCCTTCAAGGACTGAGTTGGAGATACTGGTCAGTCTTCTGTGATGGTCCTTCAGGAATCCTGCTGTAAATGTTTGGTCGATGGCTCAGGCTTACTACTAACTCTTACATTTAAATTAACCCATATTTCTTCTCTATGCTTTGCCACATGGTTTGTGGCTTGTTACTTCATATTCTACATATCTTGCTTCTTTAGTGACTGGCTGACCTCTCCAAGATTCTGCCATTATTCTTCGTATCTCCGCTTGAATTTCCTGCCTTGTTCTACTCTACATTGCTATAGGTCAAAGCAGCTTTATTTATCAACCAATGAGAGCAACACATATTCACAAAATACAGAAAGACATCTCACAACACATGCCTTTAATTCCAGCACTTTAGAGGAGGAGACACGTGATTTCTGTGAGTTTGAGGCCAGCCTGGTCTGTAGTGTAAGGTCCATGACAGCTAGGGCTGTTACACAGAGAAACCCTGAGTCAAAAAACAAAACAAAACAAACCCCAAAGAAAAAGTTTAATTTTGATTTTTTAAGTGAACATTCCAAAGATACTGAACGTGAATAATGTTTTGAATGAATATAAATTTAGTCAAACAGTTCTACAAACATCAGAAATTTAAATTTCTATTAAGAATCTTAAAAAAAAATTCTTTCTGTAGACTCTAGTTTTGCATTGGAAAGTACTTTGCCCTCCAAAGCCAGCTCACTAGAAGCATTACATACCCTATGTTCTTCCCTCCCTTCCCTCAGTGGAAAATAAATGAAACTCAGAAAGAGATGGAAGAGAAAAAGAATGAGATCACCAAGCTCCAGGAGCAGGAAAAGGCTCTCTATGCCGGGTTCCAATCAGCGCTTGGAGAAAATAATAAATTTGCAAACTTCCTCATGAAAGTCCTGAAGAAGAAGATCAAGCGGGCAAAGAAGAAGGAAGTTGAAGGCGATGCTGGTTGGTGTTCCTCCCTCAGTGCTAGTCCATTTCTTCTCATTAACACCAAAAAGAGAAGTAACTGGGCTCTCCGACTGGTGCCACATTCACGCACCACCACACAGGCAGTGTAGATGTGCCGTAGCTGTTACGGTGGATTTGAACACCTGGAGTGTGAGTGCATTTGTGGTGTGTGTGTGTGGTATGAATTAATACAGGATAGTTTGCTGTCTTTGGTGAAATGCCTCTCCTCATCTTTTATACGTGTTTGAATAAGATCGTCTTGCTGTCTTGGCATTGGGTTTTGAGAGTTCCCTGTGTTCTTGAGACTAGTCCTTTGCCTGACACATCCTTCACAATTTTCCCCCTCATTGGTAACATTTGCATCTGCAGCCCTTGTTGAGAAGGTTGTCTCTCTCCTTTGAATTGTTTTTGACCTTTTGAATTGTTTATCACAGTTGTCTGGACCTCTGTGCATGTATCTCTGGGTTTTCTGTTTTGTTACAGTGACCTATGTCCTTTGTCGCTGTAACTACATACTAAGTCCTGAAATCAGGCAGACCAGTTCCTCCCACTCTAGTCTTGTTTTTCAAAATAACTTTAGCTGTTCTATGTCTTTAATATTTTCATATTTTAGACTGTTGTTTATATCTACAAAGAAATCTTGTTGGGGTTTTTAACCACAGTTTTGCTTTTGGTGTTTTCATACTTATTGCTAGCATACACAAGTATGATTGTTTTGTTTATTTGCTGTCATTCTTATTTTCTTCTTTTGGTTTTGTCGAGAGACAGGGTTCCTCTTTATAGCCCTGGCTGCCCTGGAACTTTCTCTGTAGACCAAGCTGGCCTAGAACTCAGAGATCTGCCTGCCTTTGCTGGGATTCAAACTGTGTGCTGTCACCACCACCAGGTGGCATATGGTTGGTATATGTTTGCCTCATGTCCCATGGACTTATTAAGTCTAGAAGGTTTGGGTAGATTCTCAGAAATTTCTGGGTAGACATAATTTCATCTGCAAACATCAGCCATTTTACTTCTGGTCTGTATCCATATTTTCCTATTTTTCTCCTTTGCATGGATTAAACATCCAGAATTAGACTGAAATGGAGTGGCAGGTTGAGGTCCCTGCTTTGTTTTTGACCTTACAGGGAAAGCATTCAGTCTCCTGCCATTAAGTATCTTGTCACCTGCTGGAGTAGATTGAGGGGCTTCCTCTGTTTTGTGACTTCTCGTCAGGTGTGGGTACTGGATTCTGTCCTGTGTTTTTCTGTGGTGATTGATGACTATATGGCCTTTCCCCCCTTTCACCAAATATCATGGGAGATTTCATCAACTGATTGTCCATCACTGAACAAGACTTCTCCCTTGAAGTAAACCATCATTGGCAGAGTATAAAATTATCTTGTATATTGCTGAATTTTATTTGCTGTGTTAAAAAAGAGAGAGAAGCCTTTCCCTTTGTATTTGTTATAGTGTGCTTATGGTTTGAATGTGTGAAAGGATTTTAAAAAATGAAGGGTACCTTTTAGTGCCCTGCCAAGGTATGCCACTAAGCAACCACACCGTGCACAATAGAGTTAATGCAAAGGGTTTGTTTGGGGGTGGGAGAGAGTGAAAGGCCATGATGGAGTGTGGACATGAAAGAGGCAGACAGACAGACAGACAAACAGATAAAACAGGGAAGAGAGCAAGAGACAAGAAAGGTAAGAGAAGCAAGAGAGGAGCAAGAGGCAGGAGCCAGCTGTGCCTGGCAGGCTCGTTTAGGAGGTGCACATGCCGCATAGGGTGGAGAGGCGCCCGGTGATAGGTGATGACTTAACTGCTTTGGTGGCAGAGGAAACTAACACTGTGTCCCTTAATTGGGTGCTTGCTTGTTAGGACTTAATTCAAGATGCTTAGGTGTGTGTGTGTGTGTGTGTGTGTGTGCGCGCGCTGCCTTTTAAGGGATTAACATAGTTCCCACCCCAGTTCATTCACAGGAGAAGAATCAAACAGTTGTAGTAACACAGCATGATTAGCCCCTTTCCCAGGGTGGCTCTCCATTCGGTCATGTGATCCCTCCCTCATGTGCTTCCACAATGACACCGTCCACTGGAAGTCCTTCCTCAGAAGCCCGACATATGGTGTTGCTGATCTTGGATCTTGAGCTAAATAGCAAACTTTTCTTTATGCATTACCAAGCTTCAGGTATTCTGTTATAATGATGCAAAATGTGCTGATGTAATATTCGTGTGGGCCATTGGTCAGTAGTCCTAGCCTCCTCCTCTTCCTTCTTCCTCCCCTTCTCTCCCTTCCCCTCCCACTCTCCCTCCCTCCTTCCTTTTCTTCCTTCTCTCCCCTCTCTTTATCTTTTCCTCCCCCTCTTCCTTTTTGTCTAATTTAAATATGAGGGCAATGCTAGTCCCATGTGACTGGGGAAATCAGAATTCTGTCTAGGGGTTCTTAGTCTCATTAATAAAAGAATTTTAGAGACAGAAATGGAAGGAAACTTATGGAAATTTTGTTAAGAGTTTGAGAGAAACAACAGGGTAAGCAACCTATAAACCTCAGAGGTTTCTGGAAGGGAGGGAGACAAGGAAAAGACACACAGCCTGTCTTAGTTTGGGTTTCTATTGCTATAAAGAGACACAATGATCATGGCAACTCATATAAATGAAACATTTAATTGGGTAGCTTACAGTGTCAGAGGTTTAGTTCATTATCATCATAGTAGGACATGTTGGCATGCAAGCAGACATGGTGCTGGAGAAGGGGCTAAGAGTTCTACATCTTAACCCACAGGCAACAGGAAGTGAACTGTGTCACTGGGTGTAGCTTGAGCATAGGAGGCCTCAAGTCCACGCCCACAGAGATACACTTCCTCCAACCAGGCCACACCTACTCCAACAAAGCCACACCTTCTCCTGATAGTGCCACTCCTTTTGGGGGCCATTTTCTTTCAAACCACCACATAGGCCTTAAGGAAGCAGGAAAGTTCAACACTGGAGGTCTGCAAAGAGCCACATGGCTGACAAATAACTGCACACAGAAGGGGACTGGGATTGGAGAGAGAGAGAGAGAGAGAGAGAGCGAGAGAGAGAGAGAATGAGAAAGCCTGAGTGTCTAGGAAATCATGGATGAGCCTTGACCAGCATCTGAAAGAAAAAAGAAGAAAAAGGAAAACGTTTAAGTGGGGTGACCACAGTGCTATGCCCTGCAAACAGGGACATAGGAGCAGGGTTTCTGAGGAGGAAGGTACATTACCTCATTAAAGGGATAATTATTTCTCCCATCACCTTAGCATGGCCATAAGTAAATCAACTTTCCAGGGTGGATGGATTCTTGGCCAGGTGATTGATATACCCCATAGTATATAATGTTCTAATGTTTGGGGCAGATGAGCATGTCACATCTCTGCCCAGGGTTAGAGGTACTCCTTTGTTTTGAGTAGGAGGAAATAGCTTTCTGTTAATGGACCACAACAGAGTCCTGATGTCCATCCTTAGTGGCCCCCAAGATTACCTTTCCCGCTCAAGAATGGAGACCCTAAAATCATTTAGGGGAGGGACTGAAATTGGGGAGTGTAGTGATACCTTTTTATGAAACAATCTCATTATCGCCAAAAAATGAACTTCCAGCAGACATCGCAGCAAGTTAATAATCCCTTGGGATCACTTCAGACTGCTGCCCTACTGCGTACTCAGCATGTTTAACTTGCCTTTAAAAGAACAACTTAACCAGCCGTACTCAGATCCTTGGGTTTCCCATGCAACCAGCTTTTACAACCTAGAGAGTACCTTTAATGGAATTTTATGTACTCATCATGCAACTGCCACAGAGTAATGCATGTATGCATGTGTGTGTGGCAGTAACCATTTGCTGAAAGCAGCCAACAGGTTGGAAGCAACAAATACCTAGCATGAATGATGGAAGCAGCACATGGGTATAGCTTGATAATGTCTGTTTGCAGTGTTATTTGTGTGCCTGAGTTAGATGGAATTTCCTCCCTCCTAAATTGTTAAAAAAAAAATTCTGTAAAGAATCCCTAATCTCTTTCCCATACCATGTTTTCTATGCTGTTCAATAACTAGAGTAAAGTCCTTTCTTAGATATAGAATGAATAGGGCACAGATTCTCTCTCTCTTTCTCTCTCTCTCTCTCTCTCTCTCTCTCTCTCTCTCTCTTTCTCTCACACACACACACATACACACACAAACGCCAGACAACAGACAGACTACAAATAAGCTAGAAAATACAGACTGCAGAAGGAAGACACAGGGAGAGAAGTAGAGAACTCAAACATTGGCTCGCTCTTGGTCAAACTCCTAGAGAAAGTGCTTTGTTTTCCCTCCTTCATGAGATATCAGCACATCTTGGTGTCTCTGAGGTTATTTCTAATTCCTTAACTGACACAGGAAGTAGATACAACCCATTTCCTCCAAGAAAACCCAGAGATCCAATTCCATAAGTGTTCACCAAAACCCATCAGTTACACCCTCAGATATGGCCTCCAGGCAGGGGTCTCATTTAGGGGAAGGGGGATAACTAGAAACCAGACCAGGATCCAGAATGTTTCCAGGTGTCAGAATCCAAGACATTTCCAGCTGCGGGCCAAGGACCTGAATCAGTTGTCATCACTGCTATGGATTAGGAAGTCTTTTCCTCATCTTTGGTTTTCTGGAAGATGCTGATTTTTCTTTCAACACTGAGTGGAATTTGTCTGCGAAGCTGTTTGGAACTTAAGACTTGGTGGTGGGGGGGTTAAATTATGAAGTACAATTTCTTAATAGCTCAGTGGCAATCAATCTGTTTTATATTAGATGAACTTGGGTAGTGAGTACTGTTTTCTTAAGAAAGCATCCTATTTTTCTAGCAAAGTTCTTGATTGTAAAGTTGTTCACTGTTTCCTTGTTATCATTTAGTAACTGCAGGGCATGGTAATATAACCCATCATATTTCAGGACAATTATTAACACATGTTAATTGTACAAATTGATGTGATTTATTGTACTGTTTCCACAAACACATAGACTGTGCACTGGTCCTTCTGCCTCTCATCTACATCTTCCTCCTCCCATGGTCCTTTTCCAGTGCTCAATCATCCTACTCATAGGACATTCTTTCTCTTCTTTACAATTCTCATACGTGACAGAAAATACGTGACACTTGTTTTTCTGGATTATTTTATGCAACATGTCTGCTTGCTCCCCTCCCCCCTTCATGACAGATTCCATTTTTTTTTTTTTTTGGACTGAGTAATAACACTCCACTGTATAAAATACCCTCTTTCTTTTATCTGTTTGTCTGTTGACAGACTGATTCTGTATTTTGGCAATAGTAAATAATGACACAGTAAACATGAGTCCACAGGCATTTTTGTATGCTGACCTCATTTCCTTTGTATAAACACCCAGGAGTGGGATATTGGGTCACAGGATGGTTTTGTTTGTAATTTTTGAGGAAGGTAATTACAGCTCCTCCTCCACTGAGTTTCTGTGCTAATGTACATTCCTGTGAACGGTGTACATGCATTTCTTTGTCTCTAATTCTTCACTAGTTTTATATATAATATAATATATATACCATTCTATTAGAGTAAGAGAAAATTTCATTGTACATATAAACATCAGGGCATGTGGGGTGCACTCTATGTTATTCATCTATGGTGGGAGCAGTACCCTCACCATAGATGAATATCCATGGACTCTGTTGGCACTGCCTCTGGGTTAGTTCCTTTCTCATTACTGTGATATAATATCTGACAAAAACAACTTAGGGAGTAAAGAGTTTATCTGGGGGACACAGAACACAATGTTAGTGAAGACCACAGTATGATTGTGATGTAGGAAGTCACATCATGTCCACAGGGGAGGGGGGGAGAGAGAGAGAGAGAGAGAGAGAGAGAGAGAGAGAGAGAGAGAGAGAGAGGAAAAGAGAGAGAGAGGGAGAGAAAGAGACCAGGTTCCTTTCTCTTCTGTTTTGTTCATCCTGGAATCCTAGCCCATGGGATGATGCTGCCCACATTCAGATGAGTCTTCCTCAGTTAAACCTGTCTCAAGACATACTCAGACACTCCCAGAGGTATAAGTCTTAGGTGAGTTCAAATCCAATCAAGTTCACAATGAAGATTAACTATCACAACTCCCTAACTGACAGTGATGCTGATGCTGGTTGCTCTGATTGTGGTGAAGAGCTTACAATTCTTGTCCTCTGATGGGACACTGGTGGGTATCTAGATACTTCACAGGGAGATGCAGAGGCTAGAATCACAGTTTTAATTGTCAACTTGGTTCAATCTAGAGTCATCTGGGAAGGCGTTCTCTGTGAAGGATTGTCTAGATTAGGCTGGTCTATAGGCATGTCAATGGGGATTTATCTTGATTATATTAACTGAGATGGGAAGACATGCCCATTGTGGGTGGCAACATTCCCTATGAAGGGGATTCTGAACTGTGTAACAGTGGAGAAAATGAGATGAGCACAAGTATGCATGCATTGATTCCTTGCTTTCTGCTCTTCACCATGGCTTTAGTAAACAGGATTAATTCTCTCAAGACATTGTTCCTTTACTTCCCTGCCATGATGGACTGCTATGTATACCTGTGAACCTAATAAGCCCTTTCTACCTTAAATTATTTTTGTCGGGGCATTTTATCACAGCAATGGAAAAGAAACTAATATACTCTCTAGGAGACTCTCTTGCTAGTTCTATGCAACCTGCTAAAGTGTGGTTACCATTGATGTGGAAGACCTGAAAAGGTCTGGTGTTAGCAACCATCACGTTATCCTCACCAGTGCTATTGTGGCAATGTCTTCTGAGAGATAGGTCCTCAGACTTTCCTCCTGAGCCTGCCACAAAATAGGGTATCCTTTAGGATCTTCTGTTGTCCCTGTTAATAAAGCAGAAATATGCCATTCATTCTTCATTGTCACCAAATAAAAGTGGGACCTCCTTGTTACTGCTATATATGGGAATGAGTTCTGTCTTCACACACTGTCTGTACTGTCAACATGGTGGAGATAGACTTGGCACCCCAGGGCCAGTAGTAAAATCTCTGACTCTCATTTTGGGATCTTCTTGGTACTGAAAGATGGGAGAGGAGCAGACTGCCAATAGGTTTTGGTTTTTTTTTTTTTTTTTTTGTTTTTTTTTTTTTGTTTGTTTAGTATAGAATTCTCTATGTAGCTCTGGCTGTTCTGGACATCACAACTATGTAGATCAGGCTGGCCTTGAACTTGAACTCTGCCTCCAAAATGCTAGGATTACAAGCATGTGCCACCACACCCAGCCAAAACCATGTGATCTTTGCAGCTACCTTGGTGTTGGTGGCTGTGAGAGAGTTGTGTATTAGCTAGCAGGGATGAATGTTCCAAATCCCCTACTCTGCCTTCCCTTGATACCATCCAAGGTGAACATTGAAAGGCTTCACTACAGCCCTGTGAGAGGTCTTCCTTTGGCCTTTGATGGTATGGTTGGAGGTGGGACCATGGTTTTCTTTAGTATTTGGTTGGAGTAGTATTCTCTGAAAGTTTGGGCTTGTTAGGCTGCCCTTTCTCTAATCTTTTGGCAAGTGAAGGTAAGTGTTTGTTGAACCTTTCTACATCTGTTGGTGTTTACAGTTTGCCAACTCATTTGTCTCTAAGTCTTGACATGTATGAGGCAAAAAAGACCCAGGGAACTCACTACAGCATTGCTTTTCAGGTTCCAAGGTACACTGTTGGTTTTCTCTCTTCTCTCTATTTCTCAGAATCTTGCCTGTTTAAATCATAATGCTTGGTCATATTTACTGTGAGAAATGGGGGGGGGGGAAGTAGGTCTAGTTCCTTTTCAGAAAATAGTCTTTGTAAAGATACCTAATGGTAAAATGTTTCTGATTCATGGGGGTAGAGGTTACTTAAAGTAATTTTCATAGAGGCTTTAGATGTTAGAAGTATACAAAGAGCCTGGAATAGAGATACAGGCTTATAATACTGGGTACACAGAAGGTTAAAACAGGTACATGTTTAGTCTACTTGGGCTATGTGAGTTCCATGCCAGCCTAGGAAATTTAGCAATTCCCTGTCTCAAAAAATGCATTATAATCAGATAAATTAAAAGAGGGCTAGAGTTAAAGCTTAGTGATATAGTGCTTGCCTAACATACAGGAGGCTCTGGATACAAAGAAATGAATAAGCTGGGTGGTGGTGGTGCATGCCTTTAATCCCAGCACTTGGGAGGCAGAGGCAGGCTCACTCTCTGAGTTTGAGGCCAGCCTGGTCTGCAGAGCAAGTTCCATGGACAGCCAGGACTGTTACACAGAGAAACTCTGTCTCAAAAAAAAGCAAATGCACAAATAAAAAAGAAAAATGAAATGAATGAATAAATAGGTAAAATTTAAAAGTACAATGACCATCACTTATGTCTAATTTGAAGTTCCATAAGACCACAATTGCACACTGGTGGTGTGTGGCTCATAGATGTTCCCAAGGTATTCTAAAAGCAAAATGGGGCTGATACCTTTTATTATTCAGACATGTGTACTTTTTATAAAGATGCTATATAGACATAATAATGAAAAGTTAGTTATAACCCTTGCTAAAGAGCAATTATGCAGACTATCTAGGTGGCTGCTAAATGGGGTTTGACGTAGTAAAATTACAGAATTCAACTCTGGACACAAGAATAAATGATAACATATAGCAGAGGAGCAAGGAAGTAGCCAGTGGATAGAAAACCGCTAACAAGTAGGGCGATTCTTTATTAAAATCTAGCAGAATTTTCACCAAAGGCAGGCCAGAGTGACAAGCTATTAGGGTAAGGGGAGATTTGAGGATTTTGTTGGCTGGCAAGGGTGAGGGTTCTCAAAGGCCAGTGTAACAGCCTTCTTGCTGTGACTGGATTCAGTAAGCTGAGACTTTAATGGTGTTAAGCTCTTCGTGTAGTCTGTTCCCTAGTAACGGACTGTTGGGAAACCCTGCATTGGCCCTGTGGATCTGCTCCGCTGATAAGGTCCTCTTCTCCCCTTAGATGAAGATGAGGAGAGTGAGGAATCCAGCGAAGAGGAGTCCAGCCTGGAGAGCGATGAGGATGCATCCGGATCTGAAGATGATGTTTTTGATGACTCCATCTGCCCAAACAGTAAGTTAGGCAGAGCCGCATGCTTGCTGTATAGTGGGGACGTGGGCTACCAATGCCAAGATGGTCCCCTTCTATTTATCAGCTCTCTGGTAATGAAATTTAAGAAAAGAATGGGTTCAAATGCATGAAGTAAAGCCTACAGCTTTTTGGGAGGGCTCTCTGGGAGGAGAATTATCCAATACTTTTGGTAGGTTTTTATTAGTAACAAATTAATCTGTGGTAAACAACTGCTGGTTCAGAGATATTATGAATTATGTAACAAACTAAATGTATAAGTAGATGTCAGCTTGTATTTCTCCCTCTCTCTCTCTCTCTCTCTCTCTCTCTCTCTCTCTCTCTCACACACACACACACACACACACAGTCTCACACACACAGTCACATACATTTCATTTTTAAAAACAGGGAAATAATTCCTCCTTTGCTGGGTCTAGGGTGGGTCTGTGAATAGTTGATATTGATTCTGAGTCTCCAAGCTCCATGCTCCTAGTGGTACTACATTCCCAGTCAAACAGGGCTGCCTTACTGTTTTAACTCTCTTTTTAGACTGTGATGCAAGCCTTTTCGAACTGGCCCTCCAACTTCGAGAGAAAAGACTGGATATAGAGGAAGCTTTAGTTGAAGAAAAGAAAATTGTTGACAACCTGAAAAAAGAATACGATACATTCTCCAAAAAAGTATGGGTTCCCCCTATTTGTCTTCTATCATGCCACTCACCTCCTCTATCATAGGCATGGCATTGCTAGGGCTTCTCAGAGAAGAAATGCATCAAATGTTATGTTCAGGTTTCCCTCCGTACCACAGGCCTGTAGCGTGGCAGGGTCCTTGCTCTTTGGATGCTTGCTTTTTCTTTATGTCACCTATTTGTCTCTCAACTTTTTTGATGACACAATTCTAGGAGCAATAGATACCATAGCACATATTACATAACAAATGTGTTTGGATTTATGAGTAACACTTAGGAAATGTTGGTTTTGTATATTGGTTAGGAAGCATCCTTAGAATGGTATTTTTCTCTCTGGACTTTGTCTTCTGGAGTTGATGCATTGTGTGTTGGAGGTTCCAGAGCTAAGCTTTTGGAATTTTATTACTCTTCTTTTTCTTTTGGCTTTTCTCTTAAGTACTCTTGTTTAGAACAATGCCACTCAATTAGATTTACATTTAGATTTTTTAATGATTTTTTTTTTTTTTTTGTAAATGAAAATGTTCAGGAACACTGTTGGGGGCTTATGAGACGACAAATATGCTTTGGGGATGCTGTAGCTTCATGCTTTAAAACACCTTTTTAAAATTAAATTTCTTTGGGTCATTGCAACAACAACAACAAAAGTCTACCATTCTGACAAAGGTATCATGCGGAGGGCTGCTTTTTGTACAGAAAATAAGAGAGAGAGACATTTTTGACCTCTTGTTTATAAAGCCCTTACAATTCTTGGACCCAGGGATGACTCACTAGGGAATATACATCCTAACCTGGCAGAAAGAAAATCATACACATTCCTGGGCTGAAGCATAGACTCAGGCCCTGGGTCATGGTTCCCCAAACACACTCTGTGCCCTTTGCATTTCCTCCTACCGTGCCTTCCTTTACCACCTTGGATATACATACTGTCACTGAATCTTGTCAATCTTTCACATCGCTTTGTTCAGGTAAAAGTTGTGGCAACAAATCTGAATGCAGCGGAAGAGGCCCTGGAGGCCTATCAACGAGAGAAACAGCAGAGACTGAACGAACTGCTGGTTGTCATCCCTCTCAAGCTCCACCAGGTGACCCGGCATCACTGGGCCAGCAGCAGTGTCACACCTAAACTTTTCCAGAGACAGATTCATGACTCATCATGACATTCGATGGGAGGATTCTTCCTACCCATTCCGACTGCTAACTAAAAGAAAACACCAAAACATCCATGCTTTACTGGTCCATAGTTACTTCACCAGTCCAGCCACCTCAGGTCTGGAGAAATGATGTAAGGACAGAATGGCTGAAGATTAAGGTGCTGGGTCTTGCACACAGTTTACTTTCCATCCATGTTTAGTTCAAGTCTGTGAACCGATGAGTAGAAGGGAGCTTTATCTTAGTGTCATTAATAAGGGAGGTCAGGACAAGACACAAACATTCTTTGTAAAAATATTTTTCCATCTCCATTCATTTCCATTGTCTACTTGAATTACAACTTACATTAAACTGCGGAAATTCATATGAGAAAGGTGTCCTGTAGATTCGTGCTATGTTAAGAGAAAAGGCCATTCTTAAGGGGCAAGAAATACTCCAAAATCAGTTTGTTGGTATTTTTTTGTGACCTGGCTCAAGCTAGTTGAGCTCTCAGCAACAGGTTATTGTGTCATCCATGAAATGTTTCCCCTGTTGCCACAAAGTAGATATCAGGCAAGATCTGTACCAGAAACTTTGCTGTCCCCAGATAGACTTAATGTGGTTTATTCTCTGATGGCATTTTCTGTTTACTCAGTCACTGTCACTAGGGTTAAGAAGGAAAAAAAAAAAAAAAAAACCACAGTGTGAGGGGTCTTAAGCAAGAGTCTGATTTCAGTCTGCTTTGGTTCTGATGTAGCTTTGCTTTGCTTTGTATTTGTAGATAGAGTATGTGATATTTGGGGAGGTTCCTACTGATCTTTCTGGAACCTTGGTCTTCTCTAATCACTCCCTGGGACGGCTACAAGAACGAATCATACAGCTCCAGGAGGAAAACTGCAAGCAGCAAAAACTTAACAAAGAATGCAGGGAGAGGCGGAAGATACTCATCCGGGAGAAGAGAGAGATGTCAAAAACCATCCAAAGTGAGTAGCTCATCCATGGACTGCTAGTAACACTTACTGGGAGAAAAGGGAACTAACAGGTGACTGGTTCCCAGCTTGAAGAACAGTAACCACAGACCCAGCATTACTAAGAGGAAACAACATACCCTTTACTTCCTATTTGAAAGGGAAAGGATGCTGGCATTTCACTTTCTCTTTGTGTCTGAGGAAATATAGAATAATGTGGTTACCTCTGCTGTACCTAAAACCATGCCTCAGACACAGCCAAGCCTCTCCTCTTTCTGGTACTGTGTGCTTCTCCTCCAGGGAGACCACCCCATACAGATGCCAATGTATTCTCAAACAGATGGAAAGCTAACCAGCATGCGTCTGTGATGGTACTCAGAGTCTGTGGTGGACTTCGTGACCATGTTTTTTTATTCACATTGCCTTAGGTAACTTACTCTGTTTAGCTGATAGCATAGTATCCCATTGTATGAATTTACTTCTCCCGTCATCTCTTGACGAGCACTTAGATATTTCTAACTTTTCATTATCCCAGTAAGACCATGATTCCTTATGCATGCATGCATAAAGGGTCTCCCAGGTCTAAGAGCATTCGTGTGTTTTTCAGTTCTCCAGAATCTCATCAAAACTGCTCCCCAGAGCGACTGAGTATGTAAGAGCTGCCTGGGTCTTAAATTGTTTCTTTCAGGTTCAGATGTTTTTTTCATAGTCTCGTGGACGTCCAAATATGCTTCATTGTGTTTTCAGTTTGGTGAGATTGAACATCTTCACATACACTTATCTGCCATTCTTACGTTCCTTTCTGTAATGTGTGTTATATCCTTTACTCATTTTCTATTTGCTTTTTTATTGATTTTAGGGAATTCTAAACGTCTCAGTTCATTGTATGTTCTCATTGGGTCAACTTTTTTTTAACTTTATATTAAAGTGAAAAGGGTATTTTAAATCTTATGATGGTGAATCTATGATGTGCACTTTTTAATGTGTCTTTTAAATAAGTCCTTTTCTTAAAGATAAATTTTGGCTGGGAGTAGTAATCTCAGCACTCAGGAGGCAGAAGCAGGCAGATCTCTATGAGTTCCAGTCCAGCCTGGTCTACATAGTGAGTTCCAGGACAGCTAGGGCTACACAGTGAGACCCCATTTTGGAAAAAAAAAAAAAAAAAAAAGAGGTAAGTTTTGGTCCAGCAATCCCTCTATGCTATGGGATGAATATTCAAGAGAAATAAAATCGGTATGTTAACAAGCTGCCTACCTGTGCTCAGTGCATCAGTGTTTGCAAAAGCCAAGATATGGAGTGAGCCCGAGTTCCATCAGCAGATGAGTAGACAGAGGAAAATGTGCTATCAATCAAAAAAATTAGCAGGCTTACAAAAAAAAAAAAAAAAAAAAAAAAAAAAAAGATCAAGACACCACCATTTTACAACAGTATCGATGAATCTAGAGGGCATTGTATTAAGCAAAATAAGCCAGGCACTGAAAAATAAAGCACCATGTGATTTCACTAATAAGCAGTTTATAGAAACTGTTGAACTAATCTGGAGGTGGCACACACATTCACTTCAACTTTCAGATAACTGTTACAAATTTGATGACAGCTACATAACAAGGCCCTCCCTCAAAACACATAAATAAAACTCAGAGGCGTATAATAGAGTTTGATGGTTAGTAGAGCCCTGTTGGGTGGGATGGGGGTGGGAGATATGGGTTCAGTGTTGCAAAATTTCAGGGAAACAAGAGAAATAGACCCAGAGATGTCCTTTTATAAACTACATGGTGACTGGTTAACAACAATGGATTGTATTCCTTAAAATTGCTAAGAGAATCAATTTCAGGGGCTGGAGAGATGGTTGGGAGGTTAAAAGCACACTGGCTGCTCTTCCAGAGTACCTGGGTTCAATTCCCAGCACTCACATGGCAGCTGTCTGTAATCCAGCTCCAGGGGATCTGACATCCTCACATAGACACACATGCAAGCAAAACACCAATGCACATAAAATAAAGATAAGTCATTAAAGAGAATAGATTTTAAGCGCTCTACACACACACACACACACACACACACACACACACACGTACGTTAGGGTGGGGGTAGGAGGGAGGGCGGGAGCTTGTGAAGTAATGTATCAGACTATCTTAGTTTGACCTTCCACAAGTCACATTTCAGGAATGTGTGTTATACATGATAAACGTATATAATTTTTTGTCAGGGCTTTAAAAACATTATTTTTTAGTTTCCTCTATTATTAATGTTACATTATGTTTGTAATCTACCTAGAGCTAAGGTGGTGTGTAATGCAGCATGCATAATAGGAAGATAATCATCTTGGGGGACAGATTTGAAAGACAGGGTTTCTCTATGTAACAGCCCTAGCTGTCCTGGAATTTATTAACCAAGGTGTGGACTTGAACTCACAGAGATCTGCCTGCTTCTGCCTTCAGAGTGTTGGGATTAAAGGTATTTACCACCACATGTGGTGATAATCATCTTTTTTAAATACTTCTTATAATGTTTTGTATTTGGAATTTATGTGTAAGTTATCAAGTATCAAAACAAAATGAATCCAATAAATGTACCTCCCAACTCAATGTTGCCAGTATTGTAGCACCTGCCTGGGAGAGGTGCATTCTCTTGTTTTCCCTTACCTAGGGGAGTCAATATTGCCAATTTTGTGTTTAGCACCCACTTCTTAAAAATAATAATAATAACCAATATACATATTTATATTTATACTTAGCTACTGTTACTTTGGAACCTTATAAAACTATTGTATCTTATATAGTCTTTGGAAAAGACTTTCTCATTTAGAATTATTTTCCAAGATTAGATGTGGAGTGGGAAAGGAGAAGAGGTGTGGGGAACAGAGGGTGTGGCAAAGGGGTGTGGCAGAGAGACCAGGTGTTCCTTAAGAGGGGTGTGGCAAAGGGGTGTGGCAGAGTAGACCAGGTGTTCCTTACAGAGGGGTGTGGCAAAGGGGTGTGGCAGAGAGACCAGGTGTTCCTTACAGAGGGGTGTGGCAAAGGGGTGTGGCAGAGTAGACCAGGTGGTCCTTGAGAAGACCACAAGGACTTACTGTAATGCTTGCTTGGAGTGAGATAGAAAGTTCTACAAAGTGCCTTCTCTGTTCTTAATGTTAGATCCCATAGCTATCAATTAGAACAGGCAGATCACTTAATCTAGTGGGAACCCACCAGTAGTTGAGGAGGTACAGAAAACAGAGCGTACGAGCCACTCAGGGGAAAATGAATCCATTTTACCCCAGGTTTTGAAGATGAAGAAGGTCTGTGACCCAGCATTCTAGGTAAGCAGCAGGCAAACATCCACAGGGGAAAATCTGGTAACAAACATCTTCACGGTCTTGCAAAAGCTGCTCCTTGGCATTCTCTTATTACTGCTCTGCTCATGTGCTGATGGTTGGAGCCCTTGCAGAGACTGAGACAGTGATGTTCTTTCAGAAATGGAAGAAACAGTCCGTGATTTGATGATCAGCAAGTTTGGCCGAGTGATTGATCTGGAAGCCCTCCAGACACTTTCTGTGAACACAACACTTGAAGAACTGAAGATCAAAAAACTGCGAAAGGAGCTATCGAATGCAAAGGAAATTAGGATGTGGGAGGTAAGAAGGGAAGGGGCCGTCTTCTTTGGTGAGGCTTAAGTGGCTCTTGTGAACTGTCTAGGCAGCACCCAAGAGCCTGTCTCACTCTCCTCCTACCCCCTGCCCCCTGCCCGGTAGCCCTGGCAGTCCTGGAACTCACTCTGCAGACCATGCTGGCCTCAGACTCTCAGAGATCCACCTGACCCTGCCTCCTGAGTGCTAGGGTTAAAGGCGTGTGCCACCACTGATCAGCTTCTGCCTCACTTCTTTCTAGAGAGTCTTTAGAGACAGCACCAAAACTGGGTTTTAGAGTCTAGGTTGCATATACAACATATGCTGCATCAAAGTGTATATAAGCTCTTACGGTTTCGGACATGGTACCACTGTTCTGTGGGAATCCTGTTGCTCTACTTAAAAGCTTTGGCCTACTATTCCAATGTGGAAACTAGAAAACACATTTAGGGGCTGGGGTTGTAGCTCAGTGACGACAGCACTTGCTTAGCCTTAGCAAGGTCCTGGGTTCAGTCCCCTGCACTTGCAGATTACACTTGCAAAGTTATTTGTGTGTGCCCATAACAGCCTCATAGTGCATCTGTGGAAGTCAACTAACTAGCAGGAATCAGTTCTCTCTTTCCAACAAGTGGGTCCTGGTGATGGAATTCAAGTCATCAGGCATAGCAGCAAGTGTTTTACAGTTCTCTTTAACCAAAACAGACTCAATACAGCTGTTTCTGCTTACATTTTCATACTGGCTTCCGACTATATTTTCATGTACACATAGTTCTCCCTTTGCATGATTGGTTTTAAATTTAACCTTTTCCTGGTCTTCAGTATTGAACCCAAGGCCTGACACATGCTTGGCAAACACTCTACAGTGGAGTTATGTCCCCAGTGGTGATTTTAGTTGAGCCAAACACTTCTTTTGTTTTTTTAATTTAATTACTTCTCCTATCCACGTTGCTCATTTCCGGCCTTCCTTCCCTGGCAGGAGAAGATCGCTCAGATGCGGTGGGAACTGATGATGAAGACAAAAGAGCACACCAAGAAGCTTCACCAGATGAACAACCTGTGCATCGAGAAGAAGAAACTCGACTCCAGGCTGAACACACTGCAGAACCAGCAGGTGTGTTCTTTTCCAAGCAGCCCTTTGCACAATCCAGCATCCCACAAAGCACTGGCATTTAAACAGACCTTCAGCCTGGACCACTTCCAGGCCATCTATACTTGGATACTGACTCAATACTAGCTAGCCACTAGCCATGATAGAGTGGCTTCCTGGGGAAACTGAGCACAGGGCTTTGGGGGGGGGGGAACTAAGGTGCCATGAACTCATCTGTAGGCTTTACCTTGATCTTGGAGAGGTTAGATTATTTAATTGCAAACAGCGATGCCAATGTGTTCCCTGGGATTGGTTGGTGTCAGGATCTATTTTCATTGTGTTTATTTGACTTGATATGAAGTAGGCATCTTGAACTGTGGAACCATACATGCCTCCTGATGAAATGCTTGCTTTTTTTTTTTTTTTTTTTTTTTGAGTGTTTCAACTTGCATTGTGGAAATACATATTGAATCTAAGAACATACTTACTACAGAATATGTGATGGGTAGCAACCTATTTAATGTTCACCAGACCTAGTCTTGTCCTCTAGTAGCCCAGCATCTCCTATAGGATCTTCAAAAATATCAGTTGTCTGTCTCAGTCTACCCTGCTTTCTGTTTTCTTCAAGAATCCTGGAAATAATTTAAACCAGGTGTTTTCAAATTACGGTCCCCTTAGGGACAGCATCTACAATAGCTGGGGACTTGTTCAAAATATAAGATGAGATTATAGGCAGAGAAAACCGTAGGTCACGAGGGCTGCATAGGGGAGTTGATATGATTTTATTATAAGCAAAGTTTATATTGTCTTATTTATAAGATTACAGAAAACCTCATGTTCTCAGCTAGGGAAGAAGACAGGCCACACCTTAAGGTCATATCTGCTTCCATTTTGTGCGTAGCCCATTGCTATTTTAACATTTTTATTTGCAGTATCTATAGAAGGAATGCTACCTCTATGCAGGCAGCCTTCACAACAGATTTTAATTGTGCTAGAATTCTTGACTTTCAGCTGGGGAGAGCCTTCAACTAGACTCCAGTGTGATGGACGCCTCTCCATCTCGGGTCCTTTCAATCTTTCTTTGTGTCTTGCCTCAGTTGCAGTGAGGAGCTCTCCACATCATGAAGGACTGATAAGTTAGTGTAAAGTACTTCCAAAGCAGGGTTGAATTTTAAAAGTTGTCCAAAGTCACACGAGTAAGGGTGAGATTTTAGTATAGAGGCAAAAGTCTCCTGAAGAGGCAGTCATGGTTTAAATGGATTGTAAGAGTGGTATTTTTCCTCCCCAAAATAGGGGAATGCCTTCCAGGGCCCTCGGAAAGCAGACACAGTGGCAAGACAGAAGATCGCCGAGCTGGTCCAGAACCAGTCAGAGAAGATCTTGGCCTTGAAGGAGGAGATTGCACTTTTGCGGAAGAAAGGAGGGCTCATCCTCCCGCCCATCATATCCACACAAGAGAACGAAATGAAGTCCATGGATGCCTAAATTCCCAGTCTTCTCATTTTTCACCCAGATTTCTGGCAGAACTCACCAAGTCTACTTCCCCATTGTCGCCCACAACAATCCTCTCGCTTTAAAGCGAATCATAGCAAGACCATAAAAGCACCCTTCCGTGTGAATCAACATCTCTCCACATTAGAGATAACTGTAATGTTTGACATGTAATTATGGCCATGCTAAGACAGGTTACATTTTCCAGTCTAAGATGACTATGAAGAAGGTTGAATCTCATAATTTAGGAAAGCAGCTGTTATATAGTGTGTTCTCAGAAACATATGTTTTTCTGGTATTCTGAGTATTTAGCCATTGGCAAGAAAAACTATTATTCAGCAATCAGTAAGAGAACTTCCTTTTCTTAGTCCTTGGATCTTTAGAAAATAAACTGTTTGTGTTAAGTAGTCTGTGAAAGGACCTAAGAGAAAAAAAGGCAAACCATCTTGCCAATAATAACTTAGAATAAGAAATGCAAATGTGAATGTTGTTATTGTTGACTTCATAAAGCAGGTATTTGAGGGCTGGGGATTGAGGAAATGCAGATAGATGCAGCAAAACAGCTCTTTTTGGGTTGGCAGAGGCAGCTTCCTGAGTCACCCACCAGTTCTGCAAACTCCTTAATTCTGAGGTTCACATTTTCCAAAATAAGTCAGGGACGCTTTTCTCTAGGCTCTTTGCAACTCCAGCAGAATTCTCCCTAGCTCTCCTCCAGTTTTCCTGTGCCCCATGCCTTCTGCCAGGGTTCACTTGAGCTGTTACCGGCTTAGATCCAGATGAGGAAGGGATGAAATAGATTTTCATCTCTGAAGGACTAACACTAGCAGCCACTTCTGACTATGTGTGACATTTTAAACTTAAGCGTGTACTTTCAGGCTCAGAACAGGTTGATTGAAAGGGTTGCAAGGCTGCAACCCTTGCAGAATGATCTCCCTGCCACGTGGTGTCCTTCCAGGAGCGACACTTTGGATTCTCAGTTGTACTACTTACACCTGTACCATAAACCTTGGCCCGTAGAGGCTGTACTGGAGAGCGTTTCCCAGCTTCTGTACGGCACATCTGTGAGCACAACCACCAGCATTAGACAGACCCACCTGTGCCTTTCCACAGGGTCACCGTGTGTTGAACAATAATATATTCACAAGGTGCATCCGTTTTTTACGGACTGCAGTTTACCAAGCAGTCTCAGTTTCGCTCCCTAGCTGGCTATTGATGTTTGTGGACTTCAATGTTACTCTTCCATACTGATAATTAGCCCTCAGACCACAGATCACACTTCATACAGTGATGCCTACAGATGGCTCCAAGGAAGTCAGAGGTCACGGAGTTCAGAGGGGGCCTTCCTTCAGGAAACAAGGGAGCTGACACCGATGCAGAGAGTCATTATAGGTGGTTAGATGTTGAGGCCAGTTGGAAGCCAAGCTCTAATGAACCAAGTTTCATGATCCAGCCCAGTAAGCTATCTGGTAGCAACTTTGGGTTCTGACCCTAGCACAGTGGTTCTCAACCTGGGGGTCCTGACCCCTCTGGCAAACATCTATCTCCAAAAATATTTACATTACAGCTTATAACAGTAGCAAAATTACAGTTGTGAAGTGGCAATGAGAAAAACTGTGGGTCCGGGGTCACCACAATATGAGGAACTGTATTAAAGGGCCTCAGCCTTAGGAAGGTTGAGAACCACTGTCCTCACAGCAGAAATGCCAGATTTTTGATACTCAGGCCTGGGTCCAGTTGAACCAATGGCAGCCATCTAGAATGGACTGCCGCTACAGCAGAGGCCTCCAGGATGCTTTGTCTGTTAATAGCCCCTGGCACACACCCTGGGAGGTCAGATGACTGGGCAAAGCCTCTTGACATCATAGTGTCAGGGATCCTTCCTTTTAGGGTGCCCAGGTGAGGGTTGAGGTGAATCCAGTAAGTTCTCGGGCCTGGTTTTCTGATCTAATTTAAACACACCCATGTGTCTACAAACACGTTCACTGTCTGTTTTGGTAAGCTGGTAGGTAGTACCATTTTACTTGAAAGGATAAATTACTTACCAGTCCATTTCTCGTGGTTCACATTGGACATGGTAGTGTCTGTGTGCACAAGCAAGACATGACATCCTTCTGCCTCTGGAGTTCTGCTGTTGTAAGAGGACAAGGCTACCCAGAAGCTATTGCTTCATGTAATATGGAGTATCTCGAAGCAACCTGATCTCCACACTCAACTGTGTGTGTCTTTATTAATTAAAGCAAACAAATGTTAACCATAGCATTCATTGTTTTATAATGTGTAAAAATTTGCCTCAAAATTTAGCTTTAGCCAGGAGATGGTGGCACACACCTTTAATCCCAGCACTTTGGAGGTAGAGGCAGGCAGATTTCTGTGAGTTAGAGGCCAGCCTGGTCTACAGAGTGAATTCCAGGACAGGCTCCAAATGTATCATCACACCCAAAGGTGAGAAGGTTTGTCCGCTCAAGAATCTGGTAACAGAGTTGCAGAGAGGGAGGAGTGATGAGCAAAGGGGTCAAAACCCCCTGAATGTGGATGTCAGTTAGGAGGACTGGGCAGTCTATGGGGCCTCTGTTAGTGGATCAGTATTTATCCCTAGTATACAAATGTACTTTGGGGGCCCATTCCACATAGAGGGATACTCTCTCAGCCTAGACACATGGGGCAGGGCCTAGGTCCAGCTCCAAATGATATGACAGACTTTGAAGATTCCCCATGGAAGGCCTCACCTTCCCTGGGGAGCAGAAATGGGGTGGGATGGTGGTTGGGGGGACAGGAGAGGAGGGGAGGGAAAGGGAATTGTATTGACATGTAAAACAAGCTTGTTTCAAATTTAAATAAAAAAGAAAAATAAGTACAAATAGAAGGAGATAATAAAGATTTTAAAAGAAAAAAAGAATCTGGTAGCAGATCATCTGGGTGTCTCTTTAGGCTCTGGAAATTTAATAAACAGGAGATCCTAGGAAGCCTGGGGAACTCCTGCAATCTGAAGGGATGGGTACAAGAAGCAGGTTGTCATATACTGCTTTTCCTGGGATTCACCAGAACCCACTTTAACAACTAGTTTATATCACAGATAAATAAAGGCAAAATGAGGTTTTAAAAAAAATAAGCTTCCAGCAGTCTGAGGTGAACTACAGCTCAAACTGGAAGCGGATTAGCTGAGAATGTGAACATTAGCTCTGCTCATGACTCTTCTGCAGGGACCTCGGAGGCCTCTTTGCCTGCATCAGTACTTCTTCCGGCCAGCAGATGGTGGACTCATCCCAAACAATCAGACTGAAGGCAGTTTCCCTGGGCTTTTTAGTATCCTGCTTATCAAATTCTGTTTCCACTTAGATCCAGTTCCACTCCACACAGAGAGGTTTTTAAGTATACACACACACACACACACACACACACACACACACACAATGCAAGAAGGATCAGCTTTGTTCCTGCAATAGGCACTCACCTCCAGTCTTGTAAGAAAGCAGTGAACCTGCTTCCCCTTGTCTGTATATTGCCTCTTGGAGTAAACAGTTACAAATGTCATTTTACATGAATCCAAACACAATGTTCACTGTTTAAAAAGACAAAAATATGAAAAACATCTGCTACTGTTTCCACATTTTGCCACTTAATGGGTTAGAGATTGTCCTGAGTGGTTATTTTCTCCTGGTACACTCCAAGACAGGATTCCCAACATCTAAAGAAAACGCTGACTCATATGTGACTAAGTTGAAGGTTACAGAGAAGACTAAACATTTATTTAGAAGCTACAGTGTTTGTTTTTACAGAGATATGTTGCCACAGATTATTGACTCTGGATGGTCGTTAATGCTTAGAGTGCTGTACACATCTGGTTGGGGCTTTTCTCATGGCATCTTGGAAACGAGTCCTGTGCCACCAAGTCCGAGTGGCTTCTGGGTGGCTTCAGTCTGTAGCAGCATGGCCTTTGAAGTTTCTTTCCCTCATGTGTGCTCTTCATGAACAGTGAGTTTAGGGTCCTTTCAACACCTTGCCCGGGGGCCTCCTGCAGCCCTGGGCAGCTGCAGGCTCCATGGGCCGTCCTGAAGCCTGCCAATCTGTGCTACTCATTCCTACTAGACTCTGTTATCTTGCTGCTTGTTTTCCTCCTTGTGCCACAAAGGGGAGGATTCCCTGTCTCTCCAGAATGATAGAAACACATATACATTTATTTACAAGTGCATAAATATATAAATATGGCTATAATAGAAAAATAAATACCAATTTTCTCTGTCTCTTTGAAAACAAAAACAATATATAGTCTTTCTGGGATATTGGCTTTAGCCTAAATTGTGGGAGGTGGTGTTTCAAAGGAAACGTGAACTGATGGGCTGGGAGAGAGTCGCACCCCAAGTTCCTGTCTTGTGTAAGCCCCAGAAGGGTGCTGGTGACACCAGTCTCCTCCACCCACTTGGCAGGAGTCAAAACTGTCTACTTCTTCAACTGGTACTAGGCCCAAACAGCACCGGGGCCCTGTGGAGAGAAAAGAGTAGGTAGCATTAAAATCCAGACTGATCAAACAGTTATCTATCTGTGGCTGGCCACACTGGCCACACTGGTCCAGGAAAAGGAGGACCACTTACTAACCACCTGTGTTGGGACCAGAGACCTTAGAGTGTAAATCACTCAGCTCATGGCCATTGGCTATACACGAGACACAAAGGGAGGTTCAGCTCTTTCTAGATTCAGGCTGTGTTTCTACAATCTATTCCTCTTGTCTAACCAAATCTTGTTTTCATGATGGTTGGTCCAGCTCTGCGAGCTGACTGTCTTTTAGAATTGAATGTCCTAGAGATGGTCTAGCATAGACTGGGCATGTGCACCCTGGAAGGTAAAAGCTGTCAGCTAATTCTCTGAAGTTCTAAGTGCCCTCAACCAGGTTTTAGCAGATTGACTTGAAGTGGGGTACCGGGGGAACTGTGGGTGGGGTGGGGGCAGCCCCAGAAGAACAAGTTCTATGAAAGCACACAATTGCAAGGATGATGTGTATGCAAATATGGCTCCCTGGTGAGCAAATATGGCTCAACAGAGTAAGGGATTAAAGCGGTCTCTGTGTGATGAGAGGCAGAATCTGCCAATGGCCCTGAATCTGAAATGGAGAGACTAAACTGGCTTCTTCACTTGGAATACAGAATGCCTTTCTTCTCAGCCTGTGAGGACCACAGTGACAGTGGAATCAGACTGACCAGACAAGTCCCCACGGCCCTATTTAGCAGTAAAGGAGAGTGACCATTGACTCCAATACCCAAATACTTCCTTGTAGACAGTTGTCCTTTCTCCTCAAATCCATTACTGGGATATGGGTGATCCCATCAGATCATTGATCCTTGTTGTCTCTGGCTGACCTGAGTGATATGGAGGATCCCACGAAGCTTCCGGCCCAGGACCTTCAGGTACCCTCCTCATCGCTGTCTGGCATGTGGTGACAGGTTGTTTCTGGAGATGACAGCAATCTTGAGGTTGGAGCAGCTGATGAGTTGAGTCATCAGGCAGTGTGTATAAGAAAGAGCCTTCTTCAGAGCTGGACTTGGGACCTCTGCATTGTGAAAGACCAGATGGGATGGGTAAGGCAGGGCAGAATGGGTCTGGTCCCTTGTCAGAGATGACAGCATATACCATTCCCCAGTGAACACTTAATTCAGCCAGTGATAGTTTACTTTTACAGGGGGAGGTGGCAAACTGGTTGTTCAGGAGCCTGTGAACAAAATTGGTTATAACCTCAAAGGTTCTGGTGAGCCAATGAGCAGCGATGTCGAGAAACAACTGAAGCTCCAAGCAGGAAGAGAGTAACTGTGCACATGGCACTGGCCCGTGGTGTAACTGAGTAGGCAGGGCATCATAACTGTGCACACGACACTTGCTCATGGCATAAGAGCTGTAGGGACCACAAA